TATCTGCAGCTTGGAAGTCATGTAAATGTGTTAATGAAATTGGGATGCCCAAGCTTATATTCCATGCCTCTCAGAGGAGCTAAGGAATTTGAGAGGAACACCATGCAAATATTGTGATAAAAATTCTAAATCAGTTTTGAATTTAGCCAGTAAAAAGCTTGGAATAGGCCCTCTTCATTACCAGTGGATTTTGAACTCTGGTCTGATGATTCTCACTCTGCTGCATCACAGGCCAGAATACATCATATTTTGTACACGTGGAATAATTCTGAGAGTTCATGCCAGCTCTGTGCAATACAGTTCAGCAAGCTTTAGTAAAAGTGTTTGATTTAGCAGATTGGTGAACTCTGAACTCTTTGCTACAGGTGAGTCATTATTTATAGATTGTATCAAAGCAGCCAAATGGAGTTCAACCAGAGTAAGTTAATGTTTGTATGCGTAAGCTACACATCAGTAACTCATATTTAAAGACAACGTTTTATCAAAAGGACAGTATCCAGTCTGCTCCACTAGTATGCTTTAGCTAATACTTAGCTATTTTATGAAAAAAAAATAATAATAATTGTGGTAGGTGGAGAATTATAGAAGATATCTTAGCTTTTGCAGTAGGGAAGTCTTCATTTGAGAGTGTAGAAGACAAGAAGGGGGGAAAGGCTTCTCCTCTGAGCAGGACTGTTCTTTCTTTATCTTCCTTTGAAGAAGGGTAGCAGATTAAGCTTCAGTTGAACAGCTTTCTCCTAGAATATTCCAGAGATTTTTTAAGCCTTATCTTAAAAACATCTTTGTCAAGTTAATTTTTTATTTAGGATTTAATCCTCTAGCTAGTAGAGACCTTTGTTGTATTATTTTGGCTTGCACTAAGTTTTGCTGTGTGGGCCTGGAATATAGTTAAATTATTGCAGCGGTAAGTGAAAAAAAATACTTAATTTTCTTTAAGGAAATAGAGTAAGATATGTAATGAGTAACCTCAGCCACACCTTATCATATTGCAAAGGTCAGGAGTTATCTAAGGAATGGTAACAGATCTTGTGGAAAACCCCAGTAACTCACTGCGCATTTATGAAGGGCATTTGAATGTTACTCTGGCTGTCTGAAATATGTTACTCTGGCTATTGGAACTATTATGTTACCCTGACATTCATCCTCTTGATATAGAAAAATATGTTCCTCGATATATAAACCAAAATATGAAATATCAGCTTTTTAAATGGACTTGGCTTATTAGAGTTATTGGAAATATTATCTAAATTAAAAGAGTGAATTTTACTGAAGCTGAGTGCAAAATGTTTCCTGATGTCAAAATATCTATGCACTGGAAGCCATCACCATGGCCAGGCATCCCATTTAAATTCAGGCTTGAGATGTGCTGTTGATGTGCCTTTCTTCATTCTTGTTTTCTACTGCTCTTGAATTGCTTCCATTTCCTGCCTTCACCTAATACACGATTATTTACTTTGCCTTATCTGATGACTATTGGACTTCTGATGGGATCTGCCAGCATCACCAAACTCTCCCTGCCCAGGGACCCTGTTTAGACCCAGTGGGACTTTATGCTGCCACTGAGAGCACTGATTGTTCTGGGATCATGCTTGATTCACAGCTCTCTATCCTCAAAAGTAACCTGGCACATGTTGTTTCATGGCATTGAAAGTCATAACCAGCAGAAATATCCCAGTTCTGCACCAAAATAATTTCTCAAATGAAATCCTGACAGACCAGCAACTACCAGTAATATGCTACTGTTCTGATGTATCAAAATTTCTAAGTGTTGCTGTCTGACTTCTGACTAATGCAGGCTTCGTCATCATGAAGGGTTTTATGAAACTTCTTGAGTGAACATGATGATCATTGAATGTTACTTATATTTTTTTACTATCCCCTTTCTGTTGTTGCCAGACCATGAGTTGTCAAGTAAAAGCATCAAACAGAAACAGATATTTCTTACCTGTCTATTGTCTAGAATGTACCAATTTTTGAGATGATAATACATCCTTAGCAGGGCAATTATCAGTATTAAATTATTAATCAACTCCCTATCCTTTCCTAATACATACTGAAATGACAGTGCCACTCTTAAAAATTACTTCCATATCAGAATTCCTTGAAAATATACCCAACAGCGTTCTTTGATTATGCTATAAATTCGAGAAGAGCACGTCACATCTAAGTAAAGATGTTATTCACAGGCATAGCATACAATGTAAAACAGAGGCATGCTGGTGAAATGAGTAAAAGTATTAAAGCAACTAAACTGACTGAATAATGCCTTCACAGCATAGTCCATAACGTGCTGTGTAGTCAACTCTCTTTTTGCATCTGTCAAATGCATATGGTAAATACTATTCTGTGCAATTTAGTAACAATTTTATTACCTAGGAAGAAATCTGTGGTTTAGTCCTATTACCTGTAAATCCAAAACCAGGACTAAATTCCTTAAAATGAAATTGTAGGAAATTTACCCGGTTATGTTCAGGAGACTTTTTCTGCACATTGTGTTGAGAAGTCTTGAACGTCGTTGTTGTCACTGGTGATGAATACGAACTGCTGAAGTACTGACTTCTTAGTTAGCATCAGTGAAACAACATGACAATCTGAAAGAGGAATGAGCCATGATAATTTTATCTAAATACATAGAAACACTTTTGGAATGATGATTTCTTTAGAAAAGTGCAAAGCATCCTGAAAACTGACCACATCCTTAGTTTTAAAATACAGGCTGGGCATTTTTGCCATTCGTCCATCTTATAGTTGTTAGTACAATAAAATCAAACAATAAAGGGATTATGTAAGCATCAGCACAACATTTGTTGTATTTTTTTTAGCTGATGATACTTGGATAATTGCCCAATAAGTATAATATTAGTTCTTCTCTGTGCTGGCATGTCATTATGAAATAATTTTCCTTTTAATGCTAAGTGCCACAACTTTTGTCATGGCCTCACGCAGTGTATTAGAACAATAAAGCCTGGAAACTACAGGGCTGTTTGTGAACTGATGGGAGTTATAACATGTAAGTCACATGAGATGTGAAGGCCTGCTGTGATCTTTCTGAAAGTGCTACATATAACAGTAACAACATATTGCTCAAGGACACTGGTCAGAGGTACAAATTGCAAAAAAATGGAGTGTGAAGTTAAATGCAAAAAATTACTATCCAATATGTAGGTATATGTAATGTGTACTTTACCTCCTGTCAACACCAATCTAGAATGAGTTCCTCTTCTCTTCCATCTTAAGCATCCCAGATGTGCTGTGGAGGTGGTATTGTACTTACTGTATGCCTGCTACACTTTTGCTTTCCTTTGTCTAACCTCAAGTAAGATAATAAAAGCCTGTCATAGCAGGGTTACCTTTCACCCAGTTCTTCTCTTTTGAATCAGCTGTCAGGTTAACTGAGTCACATCTGAAGAGGTAAGAGGTAATGATCTTATGTGGATCTCATATCTCTCATGTGGAGGCCTATCAAGCTGTAGGGAGTTAGCTAGGGTGCAACTGCTGCTTGGGGATTGCTGGCCTTTGGTTGGCAGGTGTGAGCAGGTAGCAGGTTGGCTAGTGGGGCATGAGTTGGTGAGTAGTTGTATTGTTAGCTGGGACAATGAATATTTTATAATATTCTAACATGAGTAATAGGCAAATAAGAGGGAGAGATGATCCACATATTTTGCTGCAAGGTTTTGCAAGAGATGTTCTTTTCCTTATGTAGAGAGCTTGGATCTTGCTAGTCAGTCCAATGAGCAAAGGTGCCACCTTTCTCCATTCTGGGCAGATAATGTCACTTCTTACTGTAATGCTCTGTGTTGGAAGGACTTGCTGCCCCAACATTGGCGAGAAGAAGGAGAGGTCTACTTGTTTCGAGCAGTAGCTGTTAAATCAGGATTTGTTTGGCTGAGTTATGTTTAGGATGCAGCAAAAGGGATCAGAAAGAGCATAATGGAAAGCTGGTATTTATGTCTTAGAGATAAAACAGTTTTCATCATTTTTTACCTTTAAAAATTAAAAAGTTTCACCTTAAAAATTAAGGCTTTCCAGCAAGGAAGCTAAAATTTAATGTAGGAAAAATATCAGTGCAAGAGTGACATGTGTTATTGTTCATATGTGATACATATTTGATTTGATATTGTTCATATATGTGATACATATTTGTATCACATGTAGCATTGTTAGGCAGTGGAGACCCGAATCTATTGTGTCATGCAGATCCGACTCCCTGTTGCTATCACAACAACCAGCCCAATGCAACTTTAACGGTACATACGCTTTTGGATCGCTGCCTGGAATGCTTTTCTGTGCCTGCTTGGTGTCCCACAGCTGTGCTGTGGCCTGGAGATTTGTTTATCGGTTAAAAGTGAAGCACTGCTAGAAGTTTCAGCACACCAAGAATGTGGTTGAGTTTGCAGCCATTTCCTGCAATCTGGCTGGCCTGCCGTTGTTCCCGCTTCCAGGAAGGGTGGTCCTGGGCTAGAGGCGCTGGGTGGACATTAGTTCCTGATTTCAGACTAGTGCAGCCCAATCTTTTGCTGTATTCCTTGCCCAAATGTACAAACTGAAAGATTTCACGTGACAAGAGAGTGAGCATTTCATGCGTGACTCGTCCTCTCCTGGCTCTGCTCTCTGTGGACCTTGTGCCTGGCCAAGGGTCTGAAGGGCTGCTTCTTCCGTTCCTTTTGTGCATTAAGGTACAAAGATCTGATTTTTCTGAAAGATCGGCTGAACAAGAGTTTCCTTTAATAAAACGTACTTATTTACGTTCTGGTTTAGAATCTACCCTCCTGCTGAGATGCTCGATCGCAACACTGGTAATTGCGCTCCCCACGCCTGCTGGTGACTTCCAGCAGTCAAACAACCGACCGGCCTCGCTGTGGGCGCTGCAGGGCCGACAGGGGCGGCGGGCTGGCGCCGCGGCACCGCGCGTTCGCGGGGCGGGGCGCAAGGCGGCGGTGACGCGCGGCTCGGGGAGGCGTTGCTCTCGCGAGAGCTCGGCGGCGCGCGGCCAGCGGCGGCCGCTCCCCATAAAAAGAGGGACGCGGCCCAGCCTCCGTACCGTGCGGCGGCGCTCGAGCTTCGAGGCGGCGGCGGCTGTGACAGCGCGTTTCTTCCCCGGGTGAGTACTGCCTGGTTCTCGTCGGCCGTCCGGGGCTGCGGGAGCCCTCGGCGACCTCGAGGCCGGCTCCGCAACATGGCTGAGCTCGGTGGCCGCCTGCCTGCCGGCCTCGCCGGGGGCTGCGGCTTCCCGCTCCGCGGGGCCGCCCCCGCTGCCTCCGTCATCGCATCGGCCGCTCTGCTGCCCCCGCGGGCGGCGGGTGCCCGTCCGCTGCTGGCTGCGTCCTGCCTACTCGATGAGGGCGATCCGGACCTGCTGCTGTGGAGATGTGCCGGTGCCGGGCTTGCCCGGGTGTGTCTCTGTAGATTTAGTTCAACCTCTCTACATTCATTCTGCACGTTATAGCGAGGCAGCTTGTGAACAGTGTGAGCCTCTATTGGTGTAACTTGAGTGAGAACTGTACTGACGTTATTGGTGCTTTCTGCAGTCGTCCAAGTGTTCTCAAGATCTGGGCCACAGTGATGGCTCACGTTTCAAACTTGACTGAATTACGCTAACTGGAGTGAGTAATGAGTAAAACTACTCATGGCAGGTTCTTCATCCCTCCTTCAGGCATCCTAAATTACAGGTTTAGTGAACTGTTAGCTTAAGAACAACAGTGTGGCTTTTCTTCCTAACTGGTTCTACAGTATATACATTTCTCTAGAAAAATAAATGAATCCATATGTCATATTTTTTTTGTAATTCTCCGATGAACTGCTGTACTTAAGTTCCTTTTTTTTGTATGTCATAGAATCACAGATTTGTCAGGGCTGGAAAAGGCCTCAGAGATCATCCAGTCCAACCATCCACCTATGACCTATACTTCCCTGCTCTGCTATGCCCCTTAGTAGAACATCTAAGTTCTTGAATGCCTCTAGGGACCGTGACTTGACCACATCCCTGGGAAGCCCATTCCAGGGTCTGGCTACTCTTCTTGAGAAGAAATGCTACTAATGTCCAACCTGAACCCCTGTGGTGCAACTTGTGCCCATTCTTTCTAGTCCTACTGCTAGTTACACAGGAGAAGAGGCTGACTCCCTCCTTGCCACAACTTTCTTTCATGTATTATGTAGAGAGCTACAAGATCTTCCCTGAGCCACCTCTTCTCCAGACTAAACATTCCCAGTTCTCTCAGCTGTTCCCCATAAGACTTGTTCTCCAGACCCTTCCCCAGCTTTATTACCTTTCTGTGGGTGTGCTTCATGGCTGCAATATCTTTTGTGTAGTGAGGGGTCCCAAACAGCATGGTACTTGAGGTACAGTCTCATGAGAGCTGACAGGGGAATGATCACTTCACTGCTTCTGCTGGCAGCACTGTTTCTGATACACGCCAGGGTGCCATTGGCCTTTTTGGCTATCTGGGCACACTACTGGCTGTCTTGTTTCAACTATCAGAAACAAGAAGATTCATGATATGTATATCCAACATGAAATTAAGACTCAAAATGAAGTCAAATATTTGCCCAACCAGTTTGTTATTAAATTCTTGGTTATTTAAGCCTGGGGATGGGAAGAAGGATGAAGAAAGTGATAGTAAAAAGGTCACAGATAAAAGCAAGGGCTCATTATATGAATGCAGCAATCACTCCCGCCAGTGTTGTGATGTTCCGTGATTCTGGGAACATACAATACAGGAAAAAGAAGTTTTTGTTTTTGTGGAATCCTTATATATACTGTATAGTCTGGTGCAGGCTTATCAACATCAGATAAGCCAAGGGCTCCACACAAGGCTGTAGCCACATCTTGGGAGTAGTCTGGAATGTGACTGGTTTGAAGACATTCCCTTTATCTTCCTTGTTCCTGACACCCAGATATAGGCAGAGACACCTCCAGTTGTCCTTGCATTCCACAGTAATCTTTGAGACAAAAGCTTTTTGTGTGGTGTCTCACACTGGCTCATGTTTTGCCATGTGTCCACCAACACTGTGGGTCCATTTCTTCCGTACAGTCTTCCAGTGACTCTGCACCAAGCCTGTGTCTTACTTGTATTGCCTAACCCGAAGAAAGCACTTAAGAAACAAAGTTTTTGAACTTCAAATTAATACAGTAAAACATAGCTCTTGCTTGCAAGAAAGTTCACATCTTTAATCCTCTTTATCTTTGGGGTTGATTACAAAGGAATTTTGTCAGTTTGAAAGCCTGGTGTTTAGATAAAGTTGCTTATAAGGATATGCTAACTCTGATATGCTCCTGTCGTAGGCTCAGTAAGATTCAAGACCTGAAAAAATGGCATTAGCAGCAATTGATCCACAACAGGTAAGTTCAAGTTAGCCCAGTAGTTTGTTTGTTTGTTTGTTTTTAACTGTCAAGCTTAGAAAAATGAGTAAACTAGCTTCTTTCTTTTTAAACAGAACATTGTATCAAGGGTAGCAAACCTTCCTTTGGTGAGCTCCACTTATGATATGGTGTCTACAGCCTACATAACCACAAAGGATAACCATCCCTATTTGAAGTCAGTATGTGAGATAGCAGAGAAAGGAGTGAAGACAATTACTTCAGTAGCCATGACTAGTGCTATGCCTATCATCCAGAAACTGGAACCACAGAGTAAGGCTAATATGGGGTTGCTGATAACTTTAATTCAGCTGATTGTTTTTTTTATATCCAGATGTGCTTACAATTAAACATGGTAGTGCTGGTTTGGTGCTGACTGAACCTGTTGCATTGCTTGTTGAGTAACTGATGTAACTGATTACGTGATGGGTATGATTTCGGGAGGGGGAATTCCAAATACTAAGCAAATTCAAGCTTTTGTAACACTGAACTGACTGGCTCCTCTTGAGTTGCAGGGTGGTTAAGTAGTCTCTTGCTCAACACCTTCCTCACCTTTCACCTGTTTTCAAGTTCTACTTTGTACTTTCTCTCAAGAGAACAACTTGTGACACAGTTGCCAAATTTAAACACAAGACTTTTGCAACCAGTTTCCTAATTCTGGCAGAAGCCTCAGCTTGTTACAACAGCTGCTTGTAAGGTCTAAGAAAAGACTGTGTCAGCTAGTGAGCTTGCTTAGGGCGTGATAAAAGCTGTCTTCTTTTTGAGGCTTAGTTGCCTCAAATCTCAATGAGAAGGGGGGAGAAGCTTTTTTGTGTGTGCTGTTGTGTGAGCGTCATTCTGAGAAGAAATATCAGCTGGAATTAAGACAAACTGACATCTTAAAACAATCATTTTTTTTTTTCTATAGTTGTGGTTGCCAACAACTATGCTTGTATAGGTCTTGATAAAATTGAAGAGAGACTTCCTATACTGAATCAACCCACTGATAAGGTAAGTCCTTTCCATGTACATATATTAAGCAGAAGAGCATGTGTACTGATTGTAGTTTCTGCTATCTCTAAAAATGCGAGGAGAGTTTCTATAAACCACACTTGCTTCACAGATTAGAAACCATGAGGAGATAAAGGGTGTTTCTATAGAACACCTTCTTGCTTTTTGAAGGTCACTGAGCCCTGTTTTTATTTTTTTCTTTTCCTTAAAAGAAGTTAGCCCACTATTTAACATAGGTGTAGCTACTCTTCACTGGTGGACATCTATTTTTTTAAGTATCTTTTTCCTGTGCAGTATGAAGAGGATGTGTGATTTATGTTACTGTTAGTTTTAGTATAATTGTTTCTAGGGTTATGTAGCTCTCCCTAGCAAATTTTATTTATTTCTGTGAACTAACATATTTTCTTTGGCAGGTTGTTGCCAATGCTAAGGGTGTAGTTGTTGGAGCCAGAGAAGCTGTAACAACCACCATGACTGGTGCCAAGGAAACTGTTGCTCACAAAATCACTGGAGTTGTGGGCAAGACTAAAGAAGCAGTGCAAGACAGTGTAGAAATGACTAAGTCTGTTGTCAATGGTGGCATCAACACTGTCTTGGGAAGTCGTGTGGTGCAAATGATGAGCAGTGGAATGGACAGTGCTCTCACTAAATCAGAGACCCTTGTAGACCAGTATCTCCCACTAACAGAAGCAGAACTAGGTAAGACCATTTCAAGATTTAATTTTGTTGGTATACTTATACTGGAGAAAAAATAAGCAATCATCTGCTTACTAGTTGTTTGTAATGGGGAGGGGGCATATGCTTCCCAAACTGCCTTGTTGATAGATAATCAAGTAGAATGGATGTTAGGTCCCTATACTTTAGAATTCTGTCAACTAAACCTCTAGTTAAGACTGTGAGCAAGTCCAGTAATCAGTTGTTACTAAGCAAACACTTTATCTTGCTAATCTAAAGCTTTCTTCCATTGATCAATCTGCTTCCTTTCCAATTACCAGAAAGAGAAGCTGCGAAAGTTGAAGGTTTTGAAGTTGGAGTCCAAAAGCCAAGTTATTATGTTCGACTAGGATCTCTGTCTTCAAAGTTCCGTGCACGTGCCTACCAACAAGCCTTAAACAAAGTGAGAGATGCTAAACAAAAAGGCCAGGAGACAATTTCTCAGCTGCACAACACTGTTAGTCTGGTAAGTTTAAGCTTTTAGGTGTAAAATGCTGCAAATGTTGGTATAGGGTTAGAGTACTGAGAAAAAGTGACATGGGAAAATAGGATTGCTCCCTGATTAAATGCATTTTCAAAATATTAAAAATGTCATACTTGGTGCTTTTCACAACCAGATAGGAGAGATCCTATGTCAAAGTGATCTGCAAACAAACTACCAGTTCCTTTTAATTTTGAACACTGCAGAAATAGAAATAACATGTTAAAAAAGGTATTACTGTTCTGATACAACTTAGCGAAGATAATGTCTTGCAATTTGGAAACACTTTAGTGTGCTTTAACTAATTCTTCTATGCTAAAAAAAAAAGTAGGATGCTTCACTTGCTTTTCTTGCTGTGGGTGCTTAAGCATTTCTGGGTACTTCAGTAATCTGATATACATACCTTATGTACAACAGGAATTGTACATAAAGTTATGGCCTTCTATGTACTTCCAATTCCTTTGTGTAGGAAGCTAGTTGGGGGAGTGTAAAATAGTTCAGGTAGATAGAGAAGTAAACTGCTTCTAGTTTTCTAGTTTTCTCTTTGATGATAAGCAATGTGCTACATTCCCCAGAGTCACTTATCCTAAACTTCAGATGCTTAAAGGGTTACAAAGCCCTAATGAAACTGTTTTGGACTCTTTCTTTACTTCCTTGTTTGGCTGTATTTCAGATCGAGTATGCCAGAAAGAACATGAATAGTGCCAATCAGAAACTTCTTGGTGCTCAGGAAAAGCTTTATCAATCCTGGGTAGAATGGAAGAAAAATACAGGTCAAAATGATGGTGATGAATCGCATAGTGCTGAGGTAAATAGATGTAAATCTAAACTAGAAATAAATGCATTGCATATTGTCAAGGTGATACTGGCAAGCTAACAGTCTGTATAGTGCATAACATCTTAACAGCACAGAATACTTATGAGCAAATGTGGACTCTGAATGCTGAAGCCCAGGACAACTGCTAGTGATTACTATGAAATGTAGGAGACATCCTGATTCATAAACAAGCCTACTTTTCTGCAAGCGCTACTGGATTCATTGTCTTTTCAAAAGAGTAGTCATCCTGCTCGACATATGAGCTTGTTTAGATATCTGTACCTAGATAGCTGGGATTCCCTTATATGGCCAGACCAGAAATAGCAGTTTGTAAGTATAAAGCAGTTTGAGGAATAGTCATATGTAGCTTTGAACAGTGGCTCATTGACTAGAATATATTTACTTGCTATCATTTCTTATCTAGAGATGAAACAAGAGATTGCTTATCTTTGCTAGGAAGAAGCTGTCAGTGTTTCTGTTCCACAAAGTACTTGAACATTAAAAAATCAAGTACTTTCAAGTTATCTCTGACTCTTTGTTCTTAAACATTATTACATTATCTTCTACATCTTTTGCCCTTTTTGTTCTCCCTTGTCTCTTGAGCAACATGAAGCTAGTTATAGTTGTTAAAAATATACTGATGGGCTGTCATGCTTTTATTTCTAGCACATTGAGTCAAGAACTCTAGCTATTGCGCAGAGTCTCACTCAGCAGCTTCAGACCACCTGCCTCACACTGGTTACGAGCATACAGGGGCTGCCACAGAGTGTGCAGGATCAGGTTTACAGTGTTCGCTCAATGGCTGGTGATGTCTACGAAATCTTCCGATCGGCATCCTCCTTCCAGGAACTATCAGACAGCTTTCTTACTACTAGCAAAGGACAGCTGAAGAAAATGAAGGAGTCTCTGGATGATGTGATGGATTATCTTGTTAACAACACACCGCTCAACTGGCTGGTAGGTCCCTTTTACCCACAACTGCCTGGCCCTCAGCATGCTGAGAACGAAGGTGAAGGGGAGAAAAATTCCAGCCAGAAAGACAAACAGCTTGAACACAATATTGAGTAAATTGCACAGCATGTGTGTACCCTGCAGACTGGCCAAACAAGTGATGTTTAACAACTGTAGCTGTCAAAAAGTCTTGGAGAAAAAACATGGAGTGGTGAGAAGAGACTCTCCCACAAATGAGTTGTAAAGCTATTCTAAAACAGACATGTGATTAAGTGCCTAAAAATTGGCAGCTTACAGTTGTCAGGATGCCTTGTTTGTCTGTAAAGTCAAGAAACCTCACCTTGCTTATTAATGGTACTAATAGTTTTATTCTAAATTAGATAAATTGCAATTAAAAGCATTTCATTTATTGTTTAATTTCTTATCAGAATAACCTCAGAATGGCTTGGGTTGGAAAGGTCTTCAAAGATCATCAGGTTGCAAGCCCCTTGTGCTGGAAGGGTTGCCAACAGTTAGGTCAAGCACTAGGCGAGGTTGCAGGGTCCTATCCAGCCTGGCCTTGAATGCCTGCAGGGACGGGCCATCCACAACCTCTGGACAGCCTGTTCCAGGGCCTCACCTACCCTCTAAGCAGAAAAACTTCCCCTGACATCTAATCTAAGTCTTCCTTCCTTTAGTTTGAAACCATTCCCCCTTCTCCTATCACTATCTGCCAATGTTTTATTTTTTTTAAAAAAAAGAGTTAAAATATCTCTTCTGTTTATAATTCCCCTTTAAGTATAACAAAGTCTCCCCACAGCTGCAGGCCCAGCTCCTTCAGCCTGTCTCCATATTAGAGGTACTCCCACCTTCTGATAATCCTTGTGGCTCTCCTCCAGACCCTCTCCAAAAGCTCAGTATCTTCTCTGTGCTGGTGGCCCCGGTCCTCGATGCAGTATTCCAGATGGGACCTCGTAAAGGTGGAGTAGAGAGGGATGCTCACCTCCCTCACCCAGCTGGCTTCTCTTCTGATGTAGCCCAGGGTACTGTTGGCCTTCAAGCGCTTGCTGTTGGCTCACATCAAATTCCTCATCTACCAGGACCCCTCAATCTTTCTTGGCAGGGCTACTCTCAAGAAGTTCTCCCAGACTGTACTCATATCTGGGATTGCTTTATTATACTTTAAGTTCATGGGGGCTTGCCTTTCAAGTTTATCAAGGTCCCTCTGGATGGCATCCCTTCATTCTACCATATCAACTGCACGACTCAGCATGGTTCCATCTGCAAACTTGCTGAGGGTGCACTGCATCCAGTCATCTGTGTCACTGATAAAGACTTTAATAGGTACTTGTCCCAAGACAGACCCCTGGGGAATGCCACTCATTGCTGGCCTCCACCTGGACACAGAGCCATTGACCATAACCTTCTAGCTGTGGCCTTCCATCCGAGTCCTTATCTACCAAATAGTCCATCCTCCAAAATTTAGAGATAAGGATGTGCTGGGAAAGAAAGAAACCCAGCATATAATAGCCTTATGTGCTATGAAATGCATTTAAAAGCTTTGCATTTTAGCTAAGTGTACTTAAATTCTGTATTTGCTGCAGATTATGCGTTTGATTATTATTTTGTATCTGGCTGTCTTAAAGGAACTGCTACCTAATTCATGAAAATACATGCAGAAATCCATAGCAGGAAGTGGGGTTTCTGACTGAGTCAGCTTGAGTTACTTAAATGCTGTGCCAGTGTTCTTACTAACAGTACAATTGTATTACACAGCAACTTGACTAAATCATTATCAAAGTGTATTTTTCATAACATAGTATAAAGACAAGATTCATGCTGTTTGTACCCAGCTGCCTGCTGTTGTATGTTTTTTTTGTAGCCAACTTTTTGTAATTCATTTTGTACTTTAGTAATAAATGCTTCAGCAGCCAAAGTCTGTCTCCATTTGAATGGTGTGCAAAACTTGTAACTTGCTGTTCTGTGACTCTTTCAAGCTGGGTCTGAGAGAAAGCAAGCTTGCAATGCAAAAGTAGACATTAAAAATGTGTTTGTGTGTGTCTGTGTGTATAGATAAGTAACGTCTTCCTTCCTCCTTTTGAGTTCTTGTGTACCCTTCCATTCAGTCTTCGCTTTACTGTTGCTTTTTTTTGGTGTTTACTGTTAATGATCTCAGCTGTGAACTTGCAGATGGTCTTACAGTGACTAAAAAGGATATAGGCAAAAGTCAACATTCTCTTCCCTTTAAGTGTTCTCTGAGTATGAAACTCCCAGCTACCTGCTTTGGCTGCTGGCTCCCTATAGCCAGTATAAATTATTTCTTTAACTTTACGTATGCTCTTTTGAACTTGACTGATATGAATTTAGCACTCAAGACTTTGGAGTTGTTCACCAGTAAGTCTTGTGATTCCTTGCTCTGCAAGGGAGTTACTGTAACTCAGAAATAAGATGCCATGGTTTAGAGCTCTCCAGATAAATCTAGCGCTCTGTGCATTGCAATCATTTAATGTAGCAGCAATGGTCTTGGTTTCAAAGAGGTCATCAAGTAGAGTGATGCAAAGCTGGAGTTCCCTGTCAAAGGGAAGCCTGTCCCCTAGTCAAAGGTGCAGTTAGTTGGCATGTTTATACATGGACCAATGCCTCCTTCCTGGTATGGTTGTGAGCAACTAAAACAAGTTATATACACTCTGGCCTTCTTATGGGAGTGGATTAAAACTTTTGGAATTTTAAAAAAATATAATAAAATTGTAATGACAGAGGACTATAGATCAGGATTCTAGAATTTTCAGCCTTAAATACTTGTTTTTTGCATAAGGGGTTTTTAAGTGTAAGTTAATATGAGGCAGCAAGATATCTTTCCATCTAGAACCTGAGTTAAGCCTCTTGTAATTCTTTCAGCAATTAATTCTGTTTTAAGTACTGACCAAGTTCTTTTTAATCTCTGTAATAAGAGTTATAGGATGCACCCTTTGTAGCAATGCTTTGAAGGAGAGCAGGGCTAATCGGGTTTGCAAGCAGCTGTTCATTCAATGAAGGGAATCTCCATTTTTATGCATATTTTTTAAAGCTCAGGTATGGCTACGGACCTTCAAACTGAAAAGAGGAATCAAATAAGATATATAAATGGCTCACTGTCTGAAGAGTGAGAAATAAACAGCAGTAATTGATATTACTGCAACAGTAAGAGCTTTCTGTTCTGCCTTAAGTTGCACTCAGGATCGCACTCTTTTAGAGGGTTATCTAGCCTTACTAATGACCAGCAAGAAGACAAAAATAGAAAGCAAAGAAATAATTTCCCTGTCAAGTCCTGAGAAACGTTCATCTCACTGTGTATTATTGTGTGGCTTCTGTGTAAGTTATTTTGAATTTCTACAGCTAGTGTCCACAAACAGAGGAATGACTGGTTAAATATTTATATAATGGCTGAGCTGACAGTATGTTGTGCCAAAACACTGTACAAAAACTTTGTATCATTCTACTGTGGTTTCTTTTTTAACCTGCTTACAAAGCAAGTGTACAGAATATTAAGGAATTAGGAACCTTGGTTGGTGGAAGAGAAGGCTAAGTAATGGTGAATTAATATGATCCTGATTTATTATATCAAATGCAAGTCCTTGGATTTAAATTAGATTTTTCCTAATGAGGAATGCACTGGATGCTTGAACTGAACTGCAACACTAACTTGTGTGGATATGTTCTTGCTGGTAATCTTAGATGGTTTATCCTTGGACTATATTAATTACAATACTCAGAATAAAATTTTCTGCCTTTTTCTAGCACAGCCTGAAAGAATGTCTGCTAAAATGCCCACTAGAGTTAAGGATGACTTAGATATCTTCCAAAGTCATAGGTTTTTTGCAGCAGTATATGAAAACCTATGGACTGAAAATGATTAACATTCTAATAACTGCTGAAAACTCAAATGGAAGGAGAAAAGTCTAAAATATTAACAAGAGCCTGCTCGTAAATTCTCCCTGTAATTTTACTAGTTTCTTAATTATTGCATATATCAAACAGTTCAGATACACTACACAGAAACTTAGAATCATCAACTTAGTATACTTTTAGTTCAAAAAACACGAGGGTTTTGTTTGGGCTACAGAGCTCTGACATTTTACAGAACCATGGAATTGCTTGAGTTGGAAGAGACCTTGGAATCTTGTTCCATTCATGCTAGTTGAAACTTCCCTTTTCACTTGCCATTGTTGCTTATCATCATTGGCTAAAAAATATTAAATACAAACATTCATAAAAAAAACTCCCCATAGTATGAAAGCTTCACAAGCATGTCCATAGCAGCACACATATTGGCAAAATCCACATTAAAAGATTTGTGTAAGCAAAAGACTTGCTGCTGGGCCCCAGCTAGTTTGCCTGAAACTGCAGGGAAAAAAAAAAAAAAAAAAAAAAAAAAGTGGAAAGCTCTTGAAATCTCTTTAATTCTGTAGATATGACTAGTATTTTCTAAACTGAAGCTTACAGTAATACTGTGGAGCTAGTGAAATAGTGAAAGAATTTAGGAACAACTGATAGATCATTTCTGCATTTTAAAAATAAAGAGCTCTTTAGTCAAAAGAAAAAAAAATCTCAAACCATCCAAAATAACGTTCCTCTAAGGCAGCTGATTTTTAAAAAGAGACATAAAAACAGAAAGTTGAACTTAATTTTGTTAGTTTTTGAGCATGATATGTTCTTTATTTGCATAATCAGCAAATATTCAACGTATGGCTTGTTGGTGGTGGTGTGCAGTGCTTTGTTCAAGTTTTGTTAAGTTACTTGGACTGAAAATAGATCTCTTTTGGATACTACAATCTCTGATGACTAAAGACAAGTTCTTGTTTTGAAAGCAAACAAAGTAAGAATTACCTCTCAAATTGCTAGTGACTCAGCTCTAAAAAAAAAAAAAAAATAGCAAGAAAAAGAAGATATGAGTTCAAAATTAAGTTAATGTTGACATTAACTTTTGGTTTGTAAGAGAGCAAAACTGCTGATGTATGTTTTGCATAATTTCATACAAGTTTTCTGTAAGCTTTGTGCTAGTCCATATAAGAAGATCTAACAATCTTATGGAGGAGTGGTATGAAGAAGGGTCCTATCTGATCTCATTCTCTGTTGCATACATTGACTTACTAGTTTGTTCCAACTTCTTATCAACTATGAAATGAGAGTATAACTAAACACAAAAGTGATATAAAAGTGAAGGTCTTTTACCTAAGCAAGCCTAAAACATCAGGAATTTGCACCGCTTTGGCTACACTGATGCAGATAGTAATGTGTTCTCTTTTAAAAGAATGTAGCATGTTCAAAACTTAGATGAATAATACTGAGACAAACCCTGTTTTGCTCAGCTGCACCAATACATTCCAGTTTAAAATTGCTTTGTGGATGTGAACATCTTACATTAATGGGGTTAACTACATTAACTTACAGCATATGTGCTAAGGAAATTAAGAAAACACCAACTTCAGTCAGAGGTTGATCACCCTATGATCAACAGGATCAACATGGTCAGAAATAATAGAAATATCCTGTTCCTAACTTACAGAGAAAATTATCACTGATCAGACAGTTACTGAGCATGGTGACGTGCCCTACTCATTCCAAATACAGAATTGTGGAGTAGTTTGGATGGGAGGGACATCCAGTTTGAACCCTTGCTGTGGGCAGAACATTTCCTACTAGAATCAGACTGCCCAAGGCCCCATCCAGCCTGTTTAGCTCTATTCCATTGCCTACTATAAAATCCTTTCTTCTAAGCAACTGATTTATAGCTTACATAATATTTGGCCTTGATACCACGTTTGTGACTGAACATATTTAACTCTGTATTTAGTATTTTGAGTCTGATTTCAAGAAATGCTGAGCATGTTCATCTCTTGATTTCAGTCAGGAGTACAACATTTTTTTAGTTCTACTTTTGAATTTTTTTAAATTTTGTTCCTACAGGTTCCAGATTTCACTATTACAGACCTGTCTTCAGAGTCAGATGATATCCCAGACATCTTGGATTTGGACGAAGAAGATCAGCAAGACTTTTCACGCACAAATGGCCCATATACTACAGGGCAAAGAGCTGAATGAAGAGAAAGAGGAAAATGTATTTTTGATACATTGTATTCTTGCCACGTTTAACTTATATTTCTCCTTTTAAAAGTCGAATCTACCTACCTTTGGACTTTTTTTTTTTTTTTTTTTTTTTTTTTTTTTAAATCAGAGCTGTTTCTTCTAGCTGCATCAAAACTGACTATTCTTTCCAAGGACTACATGCTAAATTAATTTATTAGCTTTTGTGTCAAGCTCCTGTTCTACAAGCCAGGTATAGCCTAACGAGCATATCCAATGTTCTAGTATTTGCTAATTATTTGTATAGCTGTTTGTTTTCCAGTTGGCAACAGCCAAGAGAACACCCCAGTGCTTTGCATAAAGGGCTGCCAACAAAAGGAGTTTATGAGGATTTGCCCCACAACTTCTCCTTCCAGTCTTCCCAAAAAAGCTCTTCTGCATCTACCTCTTTGCTGCTGGGAGGGGCAGGAGACTTGGGCCATCTCAGATTCTCTCAGGTTGATTTTTCTGGGCTCTATGCCCTAACAGCATAGAGATGGGTCCCTTTGGCATGGGTGCTTTGTGTACAACAGGATGTTCCTTCTTTCCGCTTTACCTCCTGCATGCAAAATTGCTGGCCATCCCGATGCTGACTGTTGTGAGGCCTCAGCAGGAGAGGCTAAATGCTCGAAAAGGAAGTGGAGCAGAAGGATGGCAGCTGGAAATGGAGGGGGAAGATACTAGGAAATGAGAGGGAATAGAGAAGGGTAAGGTAGAAGCAGATTTATGATAAGAAAAAGGTTTAAAAAGTCAAGAAGCGAATTGAAGGTAGGGGTGTTTCTGTTGTCAGCAGTAACCTTCTCACAATTAAACAAACACTGGGTTAACTGCTTGCTAGGAAATGCCGAAGCCGCGCTAGAGAGCACACAGCGCTTTCTGAGTGGGCGGTGCCGGGCGGACGCCGCTCGCTGCGTTTCTCTGGGGATCACAACCGCGCTTGGGCGCGGGGCCGCGCGTCGGCAGGGGCAGCGCGCCTGGGGATGGGCCCGGCACCGCCTCCCCGGCCGCGTCCGGCCACAGGAATGCCTTGAAATAAAAGACTGAACTGCACAGCCTGCTGTCAGTGCGAGTTTTACTTGCTTTTCGCGGTGAGGTTATACGATCACCTGAGCCAGGGAGGCCCCGACAGGCCAGCCCGGCCCTGCAGGCCTGGCGCTGCTACCTCCGCAGTAGGCCCTTGGTGGGCCCGCAGGACGGCGGCAGCTCGGTTCTTCTAGGCATGCGCCGTCCGTCCCGGCTGTGCCCGGACTCCAGTTCCCAGCATGCAGCGCGCCTAACGGACTCGGAGCGCGGCGTCACCACCAGCAGGACGCGGCTCGATCCTGTCCAATCAGCGCCCGCGCGTGGTCTCGCGGCTCCGCGGCGCGGCGAGTTCGGGCGGGAAGCGGGAGATGGCGGCGTGGCTGCCGTTGGGGTAGGCGGCCGTGGCCCAGCTTCCAGTTCTGCTTGCTCCTTAAGAGAAAGATGTTCCGGTGGTGTCCAGGCGCCGTGGGCGCGGAGTTGAATTGGGAGAGGGAGCATCTCTGGCTCTACCTTTTGGCTCTGGGCTTCGATCCGAAGGCTGCCGAAGGGGCTTCGGGCACCAACCTGCTGCTGGGACCGTAAGGCCGAGGGAGCGCCGGGGCGGAGGAGGGCGCGGGGGGCCTCCAAGGAGGGCGTGGATGGTGTGTGGCGTGGAGGCATCAGGATTGCTTCAGAATTTAAGTTACAGTTCGTAATACTTCAATATAAAGTAACGTTCTGTGTTACTCTTAAGTGATGGGTTAAACGCTCTGTAAGCTTGCCTGCTTTGCTCCTTGTCATGTGGCTGTATGTATATATATATTTTAGGTCTGCCTTTGACATGCCGAGCTACAGCACTTTCCACGTTATTGCCCTGTTTTTGTTCACTAAGCTGGACAAGCAGCGGGCAGTAAGCACTTTCAGGTGAGTGATTTGTTCAGTATTGTTTTGTTCAGTGCTGTGCACGTCGTGAAGAATATGTTGTAGCAATTAGTGAAGGGAAAAAGCGGTCTCTTGAAGAGTACTGTGGGAAAATGGTATTCTTTCAGTGGATTTGTTTCCCCTTTATCTGTAGTTTGTAAACTTATTTTAGACGCAGCGGCTGTACTTTGATAAACTTAGTGTTTCTGCAGAAGCAAAGTAATCTGTCTCTGCCTTTTGTTTTCCGCACCAAACACTGAATAATTTCTCCCAGTTTAGAGATTGCTGCTGAAAATTTTCAATGTGATAAGAATCCCGTCTTCATGTTTTCTGGTATGACAGAATTGCTTTAGTAGCTTACCAATTAAATAAACTGTGGGGGGAAGGATACAAAAGCTGTAAGCATTCAGGCTGCTTTTTCTGAGTCTAAAACAAGTACAGACAAATCTCTCTCTGAATAAGTCCATAATTCTCACATCAAGAGAAATCTTGTTTTAATATGCTTCTTGCTGTTTTTAGTCTGGGCATCATGCATCATTCTCAGATGGCATCACAGATAAAACTTTGTTTACAACGTATGAACAATGTAACTGAATACTTGAAGATATATTAAAATATATTTTTTCCTCTCTCCTGTTGCCTCTTTAAAATGGAAAGAAACTGTATGTTTCCAGATGTAAAACCTTCAGATCTTGAATTCACGAAACTGTGCAGCTCATGGCTGAAAGAAATTTCAGTAAGTGTTAAAAAGGAGTGGAAACTGATTGTCTGTTGGTTTCTCTGACGTCATTCTTTCTTTGTTGTTGTTTGCTCTGAAAGAACATAACTGAGTTTTAAATCAAAGGAATAGGTTTTAGTTAATGCCTTATTTTGTGTAGTGTATCATATCCTTCCTCAGTAAAAGCTGTGTTACGACAGAGGTTGAATCTTGGCTGCAAAAGCTGCTATGTATTTCTTCTGGTTGATCATATTTGGTGGTTATGGAATCACAGAATATCCTGTGTAAGAAGAGATCCAAAAGCCTGTATGATGCTTGTATGGATGGAACTACAGAGGTTGCTCTGAAAGTACTGCCTCCTGCTTATTTCCTTGGAAATAGAACAGATAAAAGGAGCTAATAATTTCAGAGCAGCCTTGAATTTGCTCTAGCTTGGAAGATACTTGGTAAAGTTAAATGAAAAGGTATTTATTATTTAAAAGTGATTTCAAATACTTTAAAAACTTAAGATTGCTCTTTACATATAGGGAAATTTGACTATAAATTTTAAGGGCATTGTTCTAAAGAGACAAAACAAAATTTCTTGTTTTAGGTATCATTGACTTCTTAAGCCTTCTGGTGCTGCATTTGTTTAAATAGGAGATCTAGAAATCTTTATGTACTCGGGCATTTTGAGTAATAGTGGACAAGATGAAACCTGCCTACAAAAAAAACCTTAGTAAGGTCAAAGAAGAACAAATTACACAGTAAAGTTATCTCAGCAGAAAGTGAGAAGGAAAGCCTGAATGTTATTGTAAGGTAGAGATTGCTAGTAGGAAGGAGGAGGGTAGAAATTTCTGAAGTTTACTTTACACTAGACTTTATCTTGAAACTAATTTTTTTTGTATGGAACTATGGGTCATAGAAGAATGTTCAGAAAATATTAGTTTCTTTCTTGGAGTAGAATAACCATCAGATATAGTGACAAAGCAGATTAGGTTTTCATTGGACTTGCAAGCAAATAGGATGCAGTGCTTCTGTGTTCTTTGCACAAGAATGTTTGGTGGCTGTTTATAGCTATTATTTTTTTGACTAATTGTGTATTAAAAATCAATTTCACATCTAGAATGAAGAGGGAAGTGGTATTCCTCAAGCTGCAGCTTCTTTTTTTCTTTATTCTACTGGTCATAAATTTATTCACTTAATGTACCAGTTTGCAAGATATGTAGTAGTTAAAGATCTGGAAAAGAGCTCTGCAGGTAAGCTGTTATGGAACAGTAACGTTATTTCATTTATCACTGACAATTAATGTCTGAAGTTCTGAATGTATGCCAAAAGCTGAAAGTAGGTCTGTGTCGGTTGCTTAGCTCAAAATCTCTCACAAAGTTGCTGTGTGCTTGCATAGAACTCATAGAACAATGCAGACTGCGTGGCTTACTGTTACTTTGCAGATCTTGGTCCTAGGTTCATGTACGTAATGTTGACTGTGCATCCACATGATGATTTACTCCAAAAGTGTTTTTTTTTATTATGTGCTCTTTTTCACAATGCGAGGATTCTGAAGGATGTAGACTACCTGTTGTAGACATTTTGTGTTTTCTTGGCATAAAGAACAGGAAAAAGGTGTGAGAGGGAAGGAGGGAATGGAGAAAGCTGTCAGAAAAGATAGTATACTGCATAACCTGCTTCAGTCCAGGTAAAATGGGCAACCTTACATATAGTTCTCTTAATTAAAATTACGGAGACTGGGAAGTTATCTGTTTCCTAAAAGTGAATCATGCAATTCAAATATTAATTTTCTTTTAGACAGCAAAATACCTTTTGTTGAAGCTGCATGCTTCAGTCCTGAGGATTTGCATAAGGCAGATGAAAGATGCAGAGTGGCACGTAACAAACTTCTGCAGATTTTACTGAGGAAGGATTATATCATCCGAAAATATAAGAAAACATCCCAGTGAGTAATGCCTTTAAAGAAACAGTATTTTCATAAAAGCTTACTTTTTGTGTGTACTTTTGAAAGGATCTGAGCAGGATGTATCTCACTTCCTTTGTGAGTTGTGCTGAATTCATTACTTTGCTCCACATTTGCCTCCTTTAATTAATTTTAACATACTATTTGTAGGAAATTACTTCTTCAGTTAGGAGATGCTGTATATTGGAAGATGCAACTACCTGGTCACTGAGAATATAGAATTCTGCATGTGTGGCGCTATTTGAAGGATCTTACATGAGAAGATAACAGTTTCAGAATATAATGTGAAGTCTTTGCTTTATGGTGTAGGATTTTATTTGTGTAACTCTTAGTTAATTCACCAAAATTTGCTGTTCTTTCTTTGTCTAACACTGTCAGAAATATTTTTTTCAATTTTGTGTGGGGCTGCGTGGAGCCAAGAGTTGGACTCAGTGATCCTTGGGGATCCTTTTTAACTTGGGATATTCAGTGATTTATTCTTTCTCGTGAGAATTGCTTCCAGTTTGGTTAGAAATAATAATTAACTCTGTATACAGGCATAGAGTAGATTTTCATTGGAATTTACATAATTTAGGTGAGATACTTCACATGATTGAAGAGGTGTAGTGGGCAGTTGCAAGCTTTTTAGGAAAGAGCATAAAAGGTGGAGGGATTGTAGTGTAGGTAAAAAGAAGTTTCAGTGCATGGAGCTTAATTATATAAAAGAAGATCAGTCCGTTTCATGCCTTTGGATCAAAATCTGAGATGTCATCATGAAAGGTGGTGTATAACATTCCTTGATTAGGGAAAGTTGATAAAGCCTTCTTAGACAAATCAAACACATTTCAGGCCTCCAGACCCCAATTCATACTGATGACTTCAGTTTATGCTGGAAAGGCCATGTAGTGGTGCATAAGCAATCTAGGCAACTTCTGTACTGCACTGAGGATGACTTTAATACAGTCACTGGGTGTGCTGAGTAGGAATTATTTTGGATTGACTGACTTAAGGGAGACTTGTCTGGAGGCATAACTGTGAACAGGAGCTTTATCATCAGCTCAGCCAAGATCACAGAACTTAAGATCCAAGGGAATGAGAGGAAGACAACTAGAATTGAAAAGACACTGAGGTTAAGAGCAGGTTTCTACTTGGCAGCTGTTATGAGGTATTTTTTGGAAGGAAGGGGAGCTGAGAGGTTCCAGGATATTCTCAGAGAAACCATCGTTGAAGCTCAGAAATGGTCCATCCTGTTAAATGGAAGTAAAAAAAGCATACACTACAGGAAACCAACCTTTTGAAATGGTGAACAACTTTTAAAATTCAGAAGTTAATAAGTAGCATAAAAGGTGACTGTGTTCCAGATAAGGATATAGAAGTATCTTTCCGGTGTGCAGCAATACAGTTGAATCGCCCAAAGGGTAGTAATACCTCAAAGGCTAACTGGCAGCTCATCATGATTGGAGTTCCTGTGGAGTTGATCTTGACTTATTCTTCACTTTTATAAAGAGTCTGGATGAGTGGGATGAGTGCAGTCAGATTTGCAGATGATGCCTTATGAAAACAGTTACTCATGCTAGAACAAAAACAGGTCACGCTGGATTTGATTCACAAGAACTGTATGAGGTTTAATGAAGATGAATGTGAAATTTGGGATTGAACAAAGCAGCCATTTGATCTGGTGAATTACTGATGGGGAAGCAACTCTACCAAAAGCAGCCAGCAGTGAGGATTTCGTTGGTCTGCAACCTGAGCGTGAGCCTGCAGTGTGCTCTGGCAGCAGAGGTGACCAATAGCATTCTGTATGGAAAAGGAGTACAGGCAGCAGAACATAGGATGGATTTATTTCACTCTGGTTTGCACTACTTATACTGCACCTGGAATACTGTGTTCAGTTTTGGTACCTCCAATTGAAGAGAGACATTGGAAACTAGGGAGATTCTTGAACAGAAACTCCATGCTTAGAACTTTTGAAAACTTGACACATGAGGAAAAGTTGTAGTTGGGTTTATTTAATCACTATCACTATTTAATCACACGTAGATCACTATGTTTTGGGGTGTAATCACACTTTTCCCATATCTAAAGGGTAGCTAAAGAAGAGATGGAGGTACTTCACATTAATTTACAGTGACAGAACAAGAGGCACAAGGTGCTTCAGGGGGGAAACTCTGGATTTACAAAGAAAAAAAGTTTCTCATGTGAAAACAGTTAAAAACACTGAAGAGGTGGTAGAATTTCCTACACAATTTCCAAGACTGGTCTTAACAGGGCCATGTACAGTTGATGAATATGTTTAAAAGTTTATACTGATAAACAACTAAGAAATTTTTAGAAAAAATACGTTTTGGGTCTAATAAAATTTAAGCTACTGCAGTGGAATATGATAGCTTAATTTACAAATTTTTAGTGGTTTTTCTGGCTTTCTTCTCAGGGTTGTGGTAAGGATCTTTCATATCAATTTTTATGTTGTTCCAAAATAACTTAATTGTTCAGATCTGGAAGGAATATAATCATTTAGTGAGTAAAATTCTGGAAGCAGCAAAACAAAAGCCTGGAGTTTTGAGAATCTGGGGTGACTGTAATTTTTTTTCTTTAGGTGTTTAATTAAAGAAATAAAACAGATGAAATGTGAATATGCACACCTCCAGCAACAGTTGCAGAAGTAAGTATTTCTCCTTGGAACTACACTAGATAAATAAAACAATTTTAAAATTATTTTATATGAAGTATTATTGACTTCAATTTTACTGTAATCCACTTGAACTTTTCTCTTTCATTTGCGTGTAGGATGGAATCAAAGGAACAAAACAAAAAAGACAGAGCTGAGAGAATTCAAAAGGTGAGCTTTCGACCTTTCCTGCCCCTTCCACTGCCCTGTCCCACCCCTTTTCCCCCCCTTTGTGGCAGATGATCACCATATTTATAACATTTGTGTAATATTTATCGCCATACTGGTATTTCTGCTTGTCTACCTGTGGTTATGCTACCTAGCTGTCTCTTCTGCCTGTATGCTATTTTGTTATTGTATTATGTTATTGTAATAGGTGTTTTAACATAGAATTTTTGTCCTTCTTTATCATTAAGGTTCGTAGTATGTGGACATTGATAACGGAAACCTTTTCATCTCTGAAAAAGGAAATGGAAATTGTAGAGTCTGTATGTGGAGGTCATGTTGATCAGATCGTTTTCGATGGAAGTAATGTTGTTGTCAGTATCCCACGTCTGTTGGTTGACAAAGTTGAAAACGGAACACAAGAAGTAAGTAATTTTTGTCCATGCTAAACTGTTTTGCTTTTTTTTTTTTTTTTTTTTTTTTTTTTTTTTGTCCCCAGTGTGCAGTTAGGTACTTTAGAATTAAATACCTTTCACAGATTATAAAGATGGTTGCAAGGATAAACAAAACATGTAAAATGATTGTAAAAGCTTGTATGATTATGCTGCTGTTCTGTATTGGCAGTTTTTGAATTGTTTTCTTTTGAAGTTTGACATGCAGTAACTGCATTGCTAGGTTTGTCTAGTCAGTACTTGAATTTTTGCCCAACTGAGACTATAAAATAAGTTTGTCATTTAAACTACAGTACCAAATTGATTTTGTTTCCAGCATGGAGTACAGGGTGGTATTTAGGCCTGCTCTATCTTTTGAGGCAGTGATTAAATGGAATAGTTCCATTAGTTTATGCATTTTTAGTTGACACTGCTTTTTAGGCTGCCTTCAAGCAGATTATGCTTGAGAAAACCAATCTGAGGCTTAAATCAGGGGTGTGGAGTTTTTTCCTTTTTTCAAATTTTTTTTTAAATGAAACAGTTGGAACCGAATCAAAGTACAGACTGTGAATCACAGTGCAAACATTATCCTTGCTGTGAATACAGAAGACAAAACTTCCTGTTACTGATGTGTTGTTACTGTTCAGTAACACGTTTTCCTTTTGCTTGCAATATTTCAAGGTGTGTACGGGAAATTTATATGAAGGTGAAAAGCTGAACTTTTTAACAGTCATTCAACTATTAAATGAAGCCCTAAGAATTTTAAGAGATGAATCATATCGGTATGACTCAAAAAACCACTTACAGCCCATTGTGAATATGGCTACGTTACAAAGTAAAATGCTATTGCGTCTGGAAGCAGTGAGGTAATTATCTGGAATTTTTGTCTGGTTCTCTGTTGTTTATTATGTAAATCGTGTCATCTTATCCTTGAGTCTTTCCTAAAAGAATTGCTTATAGTGGGAACGTGTAGATTTGGTTTGACAAATTCATATTTGTCTTGATCCATCGTATAATTTTTAAACTGGAATTTGTTGTTAAGTAACTTTAGTTTTTTTTTTTTCCCTTGCTCCATAGATACTTTAGGCGTTTGTTTCTGGGGTTACCTTACCAGGCATCAATAAGTTCTGAGATTGCAAAATTTTATCTGAAACTGAGTCAGGGAAAGTTTAAGCATGTATTTGAATGTAGTTCTTCCACTGTAAGGAAACATAAAGACAATGCAGCAGCTGTTTTTTAGGTTGTGAATTTCTGTTAGATTTTAGTGCAAGCACAAATGTGTTGTTGCATATCAGAGGTTTTGTAGGATAAGGGGAACATTTGATTGTTATTATGATGTGTTTTTAAGTATAATTTTTACTCCAACATAATGATCTTTCTTCCTTTGCAGACAAAGCATAGAAAATAAGTGCTTTATTTTGGATAAATCAAATTCTAGAAGACAGAAAGAGTGGATAATGAAGTGGGAAAGCTCTCCTGGCTGGTCTTCACTCTGCAATCAGGATTTAGTAAGTAGTGCTCAGTTGATCTGATGCTGGGGAAGAGAAGGGATGAAGTGCATCTGTGCTGGTGTTTTCCGTTGTCGTATGATGCTGTACATCTTTGTTGAACTTCATGGTTAGTGAAGTATAGCAGAGTATAGCACAGTATAGCAGAGATTGCTTTCTGAAGTAGTTTTTCTTTGCAAAGAAAATATGCTCAACTTAGTGACAGCTGGTGTGACTTTATTTAATGTAGTGGGTGGAACTGCCTTGACAGCACAAATAAGAGTTGATTAATTTATATATCAACAATACATACTTCTTTTTCCCTCTGCTGTAGAAATTGAGCTTTCATGTGCTATTACTGGACATCTACTGAATTGTATTTTCCCCTTTAAAGGGATCTCCTTGATGAACAATAGAAATTCCATTCTGATGCTCGCATCTGTACAGAAATCTAAGGTTATATCCTTGCCCCAGTAGTGATCAAAAGCTGCATGTTGAGCCTGGCTTCTCATTTGCAGAAAAGCTACTATAAATAACTGCCTGTTAATTGCTGATGTTACACAGTTTTTTTCTCATTGTTTGTGTAATTTTTCTTTTGAAAGGATCTGGGTGTGGTACAGGCTGTATCAGAAGCAGAAAAAGATTGTGAAGATTATATCTTTTCTCAAAATCCAGGATCAGATTCAGGTGTGTGAACTAGAGAAGCTTTTCCTTCTTCCCCACCCCCACCTCAACTTTTATGAGTTTTCATGGAACCCGGAATCACTGAATTGTAGAATCACAAGTGTTGCAAAAGACTTCCAAGATCATCCAACGCAACCCAACCATCTACTACATCAGACTACCACCAATATTAAGACCCCCTGCTTTTTGTTTGCAGATTTCCTTGTTAGACTTTGGTAATTTAGTTGTGAATGAATACGTAGAATAATTGCCTTTCATTTTGTCAACATAGTTCATTCAGGGGAGCATGTGGAATCTTCCCTCTCGAACAGGCATTCAGGAGCAGCACAAATGGGTGCTGGCTGCTAGTGGCATCTGTGCCTGCAGGAGCTTAATGAGCAAATGGGTTAAGATTCACCTGCAGTGGCTATATTGATTTATTTCTCTTTAAGTATTGGAGGAGCCTGTCCTGTGAATATTCTACATCTGTGGTGTGAGTTACCTGTATTGCCCACAAAGGCTCAGCAACAACAAAAGAAGAAGCAATACTAAAACGCTTACTTGCTTTTCTAGATATTCTAGACCTTTGGGAGATAAGTTATGAGAACAGTGAATCAACCACCAGTGTCTCATCATCGTTAACACCAACTAGATGGTATGACTTTAACAAGAAATTGATTTAAAAAAAAAACAAACTAACAGACAACATCAGTGGAAATGATGGAAACTTATTTTGTGAGCATAAGTGGAATATTTCAGTAATGCTCTCCTTGCTTGTTATGCCCACCTGATAGGGTAAGTAAAAAGTAAAGTAACTATGGCTTTCTGCACCTGGAGACTGGTAAGCAACTGCTGGCTGATGGTGTGCAGCAGCTGAACGGCAGGATTTTAGCTGCAACTTTTTAACTACATTCAATTAAGTTTTAAGAGGCAAAGGGGAGACTGGAGAATTCTTCTTCTCAGACTAGGTTGATGTAGATGTATTTTCATCATAGTCTGAGAATAAGAAAACAGATATTCCTGGGAGCCTTGTTTCTGTGTTTAAAAACAAATAAAGCAGCCTAAACAAACAAATCTAAGAGAAACCCCAGATTTGTGTCTTCTAAAATAACTTTTTTCTGTCTCTTATAATTTAAAAAAAAAAAAAAAAAAAAAAAGGTTAAAACAAGACAAAATTTCAGAAGTCTTCCAATGGGTTTTGACACAATATTTCATTAGTGCCAGAAAGTTTAATAAACTTGAATAACGGTATCACAAGATTGAAATCCTACAAATATTTGAATGTTGCCTACTAGAAGAGAGGGAGTTGGCAAAGAAAAACAATGCTGATATCATATACTTTGACATCAGCAGCTTATTTGCATATGAATCTCAAAAATTGTCCAATTGCTTAATGGAATTTCTCTCAGTGACTTGTTACAGCGTGGATTATTTTCTATTTATGATTGTAAAGACATTCAGCAGTAAGTATTGAAATTTTAGGCTGTCTTCCTAAGAAATGAGATCTGTATGTTACATTTTAGAGCTTTGCCATTAATACTGCAATAATCAGAAATGATTAGACTTGTGTATGTGGTAGTCAGGTGATGTGTGTATGAATATTTAGGGGAAAGAACATCAAATCTGCAGAAGGTTTTCCAGTTGCCTTTGTTAGAAGAATATGGAAGGCTTGTTTATAAAATATACTGCAACACCCCTTCTCTTTCACTTTGCTAATTAAGGGAAAAAGTTACATAATTACCAAGTTTGGGAGGCTGATACACAAATAGAGCTGAATCTGCTCTAGTTGTCACCTGTTCTCCCTATAGTAAAATTGCCTTCTGATGACCGGGACGAATTGAGGGAAATCGTAACGGACAGATACGGGGCACACAGGTGTGTAGTGGCTGTGCACTAAGTCTTGTATGCTACTTGTTTTGTTTTTCTCTAAAATGGCTTTTTTTGTTTGTTTTTTTTGTTGAAGGATCTCTTCAAAATCTTCAGAGTTGTCAGAAACATCTGAAAACAAAGACCTCTTAACTGAAAAGGTTATTCTTAAGTGATTTATCGCCTGTCCAATAAGTTAAATGTCTTTGATATTTACTTTTGATGTTACTTGAAGCCTAGACTTAGTATGTTTTTCTGTGAATTTTTTTTTAAAGCAATACAACTGTTCCTCTGAGTCAGTCCTAAACTGTGAAAACTAATTGCCATGAACTTCCTTAAGAAATAGGCAAGCAGTAGGAAATACGGGAACTTGATTATCACTTCTAGTACAACATCCAGTGTATCACAGATTTCCTGCCTGTGAAAACAGAACTGACTTTATTTTGTTGTGAGCAATTGTCAAACTAGGAAGTTCCTTTATGTTGTGCCTAAAAACAAGAGATACAATGTGTCCTAGGGGGAAATTGCATGTACAGTTGTCCATTGTGCTGTTGTTCATTGCAGCTTTTTGAAGGTAGTTGCAGATGATATTGTCTGTGTTCAGTAGTGACACCTCACTGTAGCCTCTGCTTATGTCCTACTTTTTTTTTTTTTTTAATAAAATGAGTGTCACAATAACTTGTATCTAGGTAGAATTTAAAACCTTGAAATATTCTTGCTGATATAAATGCCAAGTTCATTGCTCTCAGAATTTGTGCGGCATCTCCTTTATGCTAGTTTTCTGAGACTTGAATATAAAACTTTTCATAACTACTGTATATTCCTCTAGGACTTGCATATTGAACCAGACAGTGGGAAAGAAAAGCCCATGCCTCCAAGGATCTCGGAGGATGGAAAAGATGAGCTCACCTTATCAGAATCACGGGAAAACTCAGAAGGTCATGTTACTCAGGGAGATGCTCCTCTTGAAAGGAAGGATGTTCTTGAGAAAGCTAGAGAAGAATTGGCAGAAGAGGTTAGGAGAAGTTATTGTTGGTTGTTTTTTTTGTTGTTTGTTTGTTTTTTTTAATAAATATCTGTTCAGAAAAGAAATTGCAAATGTTTTTGTAAAGTAGTTCTTTTCATGTGTGTGTGTAAAAGGTTTTTTTTTTTCCATGCTAGACAGTTGCCACTGAGTTCTAGGAGTGATGATGGCCCAATGAACTACAATCTGAAAGCATAGAACAAAGCACAGAATATTTCTAAGCCACTGCAACGTGAATAGCACTTCCAAAAGAATCATAATGTGATTTTTAACACCTTTCATACTTTAGTTTCTGAACCACTGCATGTATTTAGAATTTGAAAGTCCTTTTTGTTTTTGAATTCTGTGGCTCAAACATTTAACAGATTTTGGGAATTTTAGCAAATATTTAACTATTCTTTTTATTTTTTATTTTTTTTTTCCACTTTAAGAGTTAAAAAAGGAAAGGAATTCCTCCAGAAGATTGATTATTACGTTCACCACATCTTGATTTGAAAATTAAATTATCTTTCAGTGAAAGAGGGCAATTAGTTGTCGTCTGTTCTATTTTTGGAACTCTAACCTTTATACTTACACCATTCTTGACCAGTATCTCAAATATCTTTTGAGTGTGTGTTTTCATTTTAAAGGTAGATTCATGTGGGAGCTTCTAATCAAATTCTGATTTTGCTACCATAACTTAATTTTGTATGTGTAGAGTACTGGTCGTGTTTTAAGCCTGAGTAGTAAATTGCAGAATAATCAGGAGGTTCCAAACTAATCCAGTCACTTAAGAGAACGTGATTTGCTTGGAGTCATAGCTAACGGAAGTTAAGTTATAATTATGCTTTCTCAGAATTTGCTCTTCTGTAATATTCTACAGATTGCAAAAATAATAACATCAGAGTCACCTCAGAGTGATGCAGGAAGAGGAACAGCATCAGATGATCTCATTGACTTTCTGGATTTTAACCCGTTTTTGACAAGGAAACAAATTCACCGAACTCCAGAAAATCTGCGTGAGTCTAAAATGCTGTTTATATTATATGCTATCACTAATGAGAAATGTAGCTAGCTCATTGGCATTGTACGTCTCACACATGAAGAATAATTCACTGAAGCTGCATGTAACCCTAAAGTCTCACTTGTGTAGCTCAGGATCAGCAAGTAGTGTAAATTTGCATAAATGTTTCCACTAGCATAGATGTTTCCTGTGTAGAATCCCCTTCTGTTGTGAGGCAAGTGTTTTGGGAAAACTAAGCATAAACAAGTATAAAGGCGTTATTACATATATATATATATATGTATTTGTATATACATATGTATGTATGTGTGTATATATATATATATATATATATATATATATATATATAATTATATACATATATAAATATTTTATATTTATATAATATATATATATATTTTTTTTTCTAATTTCCTTATGTTACTAACTGGACAGTAAAAAAGTTTGGTTGGGAGTGTGAAAAAAATTTAAAAATTTTATTTGTTTTTATTTCATTAGTTTCTGAAATTAGAAACTCATGGAGAAAAGCTATTCAGTCTGAAGACTTGTCAGATGCAGAGCTGGTTTCAACCGAAGAAATAATAGATGCTCCAGTGGATGCTAGTCCTGCAATCCAGGATAAGGCAGCCGTTAGTTTAGATGGGGGTTCCTCTTCATCTGCTCTACCTAACGTTGATTATCCATTGTCAGAACAAAAGTCCAAAAGTAGTTCTGCACAATTTGCAGTTCTAAAGCAAATGATAAGTCAAATCAATGTACCTATGATTTGGGAAGAAACATCTGAGATACTAGAGGATTTGGACAGTGAAGAAGAATTAGAGGACGCTGTTTCTGGAGAAAGTTTTATAGGAAAAACAAAACAATCACCGTGCATGTACGTAGAGAAGAGCTTGAATACTCCATGTATTTCTTCAGAAGACAGTAGTAAAGTGAATACTCTACCCTCAGATCACCTTTTGGGTTTAATGGATAAAGATCTGCTGTGGAATGCGTCTCCAGTGTTAAGTTCTAAGAGCTGTGAAGTTGATGATTTTGGGATGCTGCATGAGACTACTCCAGAAGAGCTTAGTAGCAGAAGTTCTAAGAAATTTGTGATGTCTGAATCTGGATTAGGTTTTTTAGGCAGTGTATTTATACCACATAGTAGAGTAGATCAAGGGAATAGTCTTAATTTAAAGCCAAATCTAGATTCCCTGCTCAGCAGATACAAAATGCTGAAAAAAAGTGTATCTGGAGAAGAACAGGAACTGCATGAGGTGTTTATTGGAGATGAATCTTTAAGTAATTTCTCAGACAAAAGTCTTTCTCCAGATGAAGGAGAAAGAGGTGATTTGCAAATGTCTGTAGAACGCTTCAGCTTGGATGAAGAATTTGCCAAGATAAAATCACCAGTTCCTGACAACAATCCTTCCCTGCCATCTTTGCTGGTCTTCTCTAAACACCTAGAAGAAATGGCATCAAATATTAATTAAATCCCATTAGAGCTGATAAATAAATTGAAGGGTAAGTGTCAATGTACTTTAGCAACCAGATTTTTGTCCATTTTGCCACCAGTTATACTACCACAGGTGTCATCTGATAGCTGAACCCTCCTGTAAAAGTGTCAGACAAAAGATTATTTGCATGCTTATTTCTTATAGATGATGGGACAAAAGCAAAGCATATGTGTTCTATTTTTCTTGTTTTATGTATGTCTTTCAAGGATGAAAAAAGATACTTGTCTGATTTTCTAAAGAAACCTACAGCTATTTAAAAAAAACAACAGCAACAACAAAAACAAACAAAAAAACCACTGTATGTGCATTAGCAGCAGAGTCATCTGAAGTTATATCTTGAGAATTCACAAAGTTGATTTGAAATAATACGTTTACCCTGAGTATGTGTAACTCTTTAGAAATATATAGTAGGCAATATAAACTGGTGGAGTTCTCGGTTACGTGTTTGTAGTCTATGTGTCCTCTTTTGTTTAACCACTAGTGCACTGGTTTAAGAAACGCAAAGTTAACTTTTATGTATGTAAATAAAGATGGGCTAGTAATGGCAATACACTACTAAAACGTATGCTTTTAGTGACATACTAGAAGTCTCAGGAGCAGTGAGATTTATGCTTTTTGTGAAGGATTGCCACTTTAAATAACCAGACAAAAGGTAGTGATGCTTTTTCAAGTAATGCTTGACAAGGAAAACTTACTATATGCAGGGACTTGCATTGTTTGTAAACGTCAGTGGCTTAGGTTATATTGCTTAGTTTACCTCACTTTTAGTAAGAGAAACAAAACTCTGCTGCAGTGCATCTGCTGGATACTGCTCTGTAAGATATTTTTCAGAAGGATATCTTAGTCTAACTTCTGAAGACAAAATCTTTCCTTTGATACCCACTTTGTACTGTATGACTTGTACTTTGGTATTGTTTTGACATAGTGTTTTATGAAGAGATCTTGTAAGTGTGTGACAGTGACAGTGCCATTTGCTTTTTTCCATATCAAAGCATTGAGTAGATGATACTTTGGTCTAATCTACTGCTAGTGTAAAAGGCAACTTGATACAGAATCACAGAATTCCTGGATTGGAAGGGACCTCAAGAGATCGAGTCCAACTCCCTGCTTAAGCGGGCATCGTACAATAGGTTGTACAGGTAGGCATCCAGATAGGTCTTGAATGTCTCCATACAAGGAGATTCTACAGCCTCTCTTGGTGACCTGTGCCATAGCTTCATCACCATCATCACATCTTCATGATTGTATGGAACTTCCTATGTTCAAGTTTTAGGCCATTACTCCTTGTCCTATTGCTGCGCAACACTAGGAAGAGCCTGGTCTCATCTGGTCAGATATATGTATATATTAACATGAATTAGATCTCCCCTCAGTTATCTTTTCCCCAGGTTGAACAGACTCAGGTTACTCAGTCTTTGTTCCTACGGGAGATGTTCCTGGTCCTTCATCATCTTTGTGGCCCTCTACAAGATTCCTGTCGTTTTTATACTGGGGAGCCCAGAACTGGGTACAATATTTGAAATGTGGCTTCACCAGGGAAGAGTAAAGGAGGAGGATTACCTCCCTCGACCTGCTGGCCATGCTCTTTAATGCTCTTTGGTGTACTGTTGGCCTGCTTTGCCACAAGGGCACACTGCTGGCTCATGGCCAGCCTATTGTCCACAAGAACACCCAGGTCCTTCTCCGCAGATGTTCTCTCTGGCAGGTCATGCCCCAGTCCGTGTACTGATGTCTGCAGTTATTACTCCCCACGTGCAAGGCTGTTATTACTCTTATTGAACCTCATTAGGTTCCTCCCTCCCTACTCTCTAGTTTGTTCAGGTCTTGTTGAATGGCAACACCTTCTTCTGGTGTGTCAGCCACTCCTCACAGCTTTGTATCATCAGCAAACTTGCTGAGATGGGTTTCTATCCTTTAATTCTGATCATTGATGAAGACGTTGAACAAGACCAGACCCAGCACCTATTCATGGGGGTTTATGCTAGTTACAGGCCTCCAACCAGACTCTGTGTCATTGATGACAATCCTCTTACCTCTGCCAGTCCTCAGTCTGCCTCACAGTCAACTCATCTATCTCACGCTTTCTAGGTGTCATATGAAGGATGTTGTGGGAGATGCTGTTTAACACTTTGCTAAAGTCAAGGTAGACTACATCCACTGCTCTCTCCACATCTACTCAGCCAGTGATGACATCGCAGAAGGCTACCAGGTTCGTCAAGCATGATTTCCCCTTAGTGAATCCATGTTGACTAATCTCAGTAACTTTCTTCTCTTCCAATTGCTTGGAGAGGCTATCCAGAACAAGTTCCATCACCTTTCCAGGGTTGGAGGTGAGGCTTGTAGTTTCCTGGATTCTCTTTCTTGCCCTTTTTGAAGACTGGAGCAACAATGGCTATCCTCCAGTCTTCAGGCACCTCTCCCATTTGCCAAGAGCTTTCAAAGATTATCAATAAGGGAGTGCTTCGGCAGCCTCCTCTGCCAGCTCCCTCAGCACACATGGGTGCATCCCATCGTGCCCCATGGATTTGTGTGCACTGATTTTGGCTAAATGTTCTCTGTCCAGATCCTTGACCAACAGGGAATCTTTCTTTACCTGGACTGTCTATCTTAACTCCGGGGTTTGGGATTTCCTGAGGGGCAGTCTTTGTAAGGGCTGAAGCAAAGAAAGCATTGAAAATCTCCATCTTCTTAGTGTTCCCTGTTAACAGGCACCTACCTCATTTTGTAGGGGACCCACATTTTCCCTAGTTTTTTAAACACTGTTGATATGTTTAAAAAACAAAAACCTTTCTTGTTATCCTTTACCTCTTTTGCAAGGTTTAATTCCGAGCAGACATTAGCCCTCCTTGTTTCATTCCTACAGGCACTGGCAACATTTTTATGTTCTTCCTAGATGGACAGACTGTTTTTTCATATTTCATGGGCCTTCATTCCTTTTAGTTTATCCATGAGTTCATTGTTCATTCACACAGGCCTCTTGCCACCTTTCCCCAGTTTCTTACTCTGCACTTCAGTAAGAAACTAGGTGACGCACTGATCTTAAAATTGGACAAAGTGGTGTTTAAGTGTCAACCAGCTTTAATGGGCCCCTTACCTTCTAATGCTGTAGCCCAAAGGATGCGTCCAAGTAATTCTTTGAAGAGGCTGAAGTCAGCTCTCCTGAAGTCCAGGGCAGCAACCCTTAATGCTTTGCTTCTTCCAAACTTTCTTAACTAGGCTTCCAAATTTTCTCTTAAAATTGAGCATAAATGCTCATGCTGTATATTTTCCACTTAATTCTCCTATATAAATAACTTAGTAACATGAAATTGTGACTGTACTGATAACAGATGATTTTATCAGACTTAAACTTGAAGTGCTCTTTTATACCTATTTTTTTACTGTGTGCTAAATGTTGTTGGAACAGTATTTCCTGTCAGTTAATTGAACATTTCACAGCCATCAAAATTGGAAATAACATTTTATTACTTTTTTAATACATGCAGATACTTTAGGGACAGTATTTCTGTTAGTTAATTGAACATTACGCAATGTTAACCAATACATTTTTTTTTTTTTCCTCCAGATAAAGAAAAGCTGAATGAGAAGCTGAGCACAAAGGAACCACCATCATTATTGAAAAACTTGTAAAACATACGAACAATGGTAGTATTAAAATTATGGTGTACTTGAGTACTTCGTAATTTCTCCAAGCACTGTCTAGATGATAAGTTGCACTCCTATTTCTTGCCAGGCCTGTGTGCCAGACTTCTTGTCAGTGTCAGTTGCTTGCTTTGATCCCTTGTGTCTCAAGTCATCCATACTAATTTTCTGTGAACAACTCAAAACTTATGTACAAAATTATATATTCCTTTGTAAACACAGCTTTGAAAATAGATGTTGAGCATGTTGTTTTTCCATTCTAAAATTACGTAACGTCTCAAAGGAGAAATCACAAAATATTTGGTGTCTCTATCCTGCCCCTTTAAAATGGAAAATGTTTTGGTGCACTGCCTATGCTGGATTCTCTCCTCTTGAAACGTATGGTCAAGCATTACCATCAGTTTTCAGTGTTGATAAAGACCTTTTTCTTTAATAAATTTCTCCCATTGAAGTGGAATTTTTGGTACAATTCCTTCAGGCTTTGTACTAAAATTTCAAATTGAAGTTTCAAACTATGATTTCTGGTAGAGTTAATGCTATTTTATTTTCAGATTGTAGATATTCCGTAGTAGACTTATATAAATCTGTACACTGTGTGTAATGTATACATTTATGTTTATGACACTGCAATGTAATTGACAATAACATTATGACAGTGCATTTCCATGTTGATCTAGTTGTTGAACAGCCCGAGACTACAGCTATCAGCTGTCTGAAATAGGCGCAGCTGTGTTGCTTGCAGACCTGAGTTCTAGAGCTTGGTGGTGGTGACTTTACAAAGGCTTCCTAGGAAACTGACTGAGTACTTGTGCCCTGGTCAGAAAATGCTTGAAAGCAGGAACCACAGTGCACTGGTCAGGATGCTAGCAAAGGAGCTTGGTCACGCAAGCCAGGGAAGGAGCTGATCAGTTCAGATGTGCTCTGACAGTATGATCTGCTTCTCGAAGTTCCCAGATTTTTTTTGACATAATTGTTTCAAGAGATTGCTGCTGAAGAGGTTTTCTGCTGTAGAGCATCTGCTGGGAAAGACCTGATCTGTAACTTTTTCTTACCAAACATGCATCCAGTGTCGCCTGTGCCTTTGCACTCGGTGCCATCCTTGAAGACGTGCGTTTGTCAGCTGTGCTCCTGTGGGTATGTAAGAATATGGGGAAAGGAACTTGGAACGGGAGTTCCCTGCTAGCAAGATGCACTACTCATCAGTGCTACAGATGTTACTCGCTGCTCTTAAGTTACAAGTGGAAAATTATAAATACTTTTTTCCATATGGGATGTACTGAATGATGTAATTCTTGGTTTTCTTTTTTGTTTTTCATAGCATAGAGGTATACAAATGGCAAGGAGACTTCCCATTTTTCTTTTTACATGGATTGCCTCTCTAAGAGGAGAGCATTTAACTTTTTGGCCACAAGTGTGGTTTCAAATACATACTACTAACTTTGAGTGCTTTAAATTAGTGAAAGTTATCCTTCCTCTGTAAATGCGCAAATTATGAAAAAGATGAGAACTCTGCAAATAGATGAGACTACTGAAAGCAGCAAGATTTGTTAGTACTTGTGTCTTTTGAATGCCTGCAAATGCAGACATTCAATGCAATAATTAGTTTTATGCCCTCTAACATAAGACCCATTTTCTCATGTTTGCAAGTTAAAAAAAAAAAAAAAAAGATGAAGTGGGGAAAAATATTGACTCAAAACTTGTTTTAAAGCTGTAAAATTATAAAGAGGGAATGTATAAGATGCTGATACAGAGTTCATGTCAGATTGGAATGTATTACACATGATGAATAACAAATAAATAATAAATAAATGTACTCCAGAAAGAGAAGTATTTTTTGTTACCAAGCTGCATTTTTAAAGTATTTTTATTTGTCTTATTTGTAAGATGCAAGTGCTTCTGCTCCTTCCGTTCTTCATTCTGTATGCATTATTCCTTTATTTGATAAGCTTTTGTATTTGACTTTGAGACCTGTGTTGAAGAAAGGCAACAGTGATTTGATTATTCTGTTTTGGTATTGGTTTTGGTATGAAGGCCTTAAACTTAAAGCTTTTGGATCTGGATTGAAAAGGATCCTTTATCCAAATAACGTATATGTTTGCTTTTGAGGCACTTAATCTTTCAGAAGCTACACAAGCTGCTAGGATAGATATTTTGCAAGAGCAGCTAAATAGGATGTAGATAATATGTGGCCTGTCTTACGAGAAATCCAACCGTAATGTGGGTTGCTGCCACATTGGCAGTTCTGAATTAAGTAGTAATGGCTAAGAATATGGCGCATAGAATCAGATCATCACAGAAATTAAACAATTTCCAGTATCTCAGTACTTAGCACTGATGAGGCCACACCTTGAGTACTGTGTTCAGTTTTGGGCCCTTCAGTACAAGAAAGACATTGAGATCTTGGAGTGTGTCCAGAGAAAGGCAATGAAGCTGGTGAGTGGTCTGGAACACAAATCTCAAGAGATGAGGGAACTGGGATTGTTCAGACTGGAGGAGGCTCAGGGGTGACCTTTCTCTCCCTTGAACAACCTGAAGAGAGTTTGTGATGAGGTAAGGGTCGGCCTCTTCTCCCACGTAACTAGCAATAGGATTAAAGGGAATGGCCTCAAGTTGCACCAGGGGAGATTCAGGCTGGATGTTAGGAAATAATAGTCTGAAAGAGTGGTCAGATGCTGGAACACGCCTGCCTGGAAAGTGGTGGAGTCACCATTCCTGCAGGTGTTCAAGAAACAATTAGATGTTGTACTGAGGGATGTGGGTTAATGGGAAATGGTGATAGGTGGACAGTTGGACTGGATGATCTTGGAGGTCTTTTCCAACCTTGGTGATTCTATATAAAATAGCAAAAATAAAATTGCCTTGCATCTTAGGAATTTTTCACTGTTTGCTTGCAGGCGAGTGGAACTGCTGAAGTCTGGTCTTACCAGTAAAGACCACGGCTTTTAAAAATACCAAGGTTTTATCAGTAAAGACCAAGAGGAGTTTTACTCAATATATGTCTATAAGCATTGTTTCTCAAATAATGGGGATTGCTAATTGTCAGCAAACCTCACTTCATCAATTTACAGCTTATCATTTTGGCAAAATTTTCTTCCTTTTTGTGGGTAGATACGAGAACAAAATTAATCTGTTATTTCAAAATTTCTGTTTACTGAATGGTAAAGCAAATGGATCAAGAAGAGTTTTTGTGGTGTTAGACGTTCCGATAGTTTCAGAACATGGCAATGTAGAAGCATAGTGTTCTGGAAAATGGAATAAAGTATTAAAGCCCTAAGCGTCTGAAGAAGGAAACTTTGAGGATAGAACAAATATCAAAGAAAAGTAGCATCATTAAGTTGCTTAAAAATAAATTCATGGACCATTGAACAACTGTACCTTCTAATGAGAGAAGTTGGTCATTCTCCTCTTAATCCTCCAATCAGACTGACTGAGTCTAGAAAGACTCAGTACAAACTAAAAATAAGTTCAGTTTACAACAGCACAGATAACTGCTCTTGGCAGGGTTTTGAAGACAGGTACTGTACGTATGTTGGCTTTCTTAAGTCAGCTAGGAGCTTGTGGTCTTTAATCAATTTTCAATTTCCTTTCTAGAATTCGTTCTTTGCCTGAAAGGGCTATGGCAAAGCATGTTTGTGAGTGCACCAGGAAGTCTGTATTCCCTTAAGGAAAATGACTGCACTGCATATGAGTACTGTATTTTTTTTGTGAAACTTGGTAGCCACCTGCAAATTATGTGTTTGCCTTTTTGTTACGTGGTTTGCCAGTGTAGTTTTCAGACCTGAGTTTTGTACCCCTGGCAATATTTGATACTCAGCTGAATTGTGACAGTAGTGTCTTACGAGTAATATTTTCTGCAACCGTGTTGTTGTAAATATTTGAAATAGTGGCTCTCTAAGTTATAGTTTGATGTGCTTGTGTTCTCTGTGATCTAGTTACGATAGATTGGTTGGATTTAAATGGTCCAAAGATTTGCAAATTGTTGATGTCTTTCTGTCTGATACAGCTGTCCACCTATCTCCCCTCTCTCAGTTTAGACATAGTGTGATGAGGTGCTTACTGCTCCTTATTGCGTATGTGGAAAGAAATGACTTGGGGCTGTGAATCCTAGACTTCCCCTTGGAGTCACGACGCAGTGCTTTCTCATATCCTAGGATGTGTCATACTGTCAGGAGCATTTCTGTGCTGCATACATTTAACGCAAGGAACTGCCAAGATTCACGACTAGGAGAAGTGAGTAGAGTGCACCCATTTATATTCTTGGCTTGGTTAACATAACCTTCTTTTGACTGTTTAGTATTGAATTCCTGATTTTTTTATTTTTTATTTCTATTTTTTTTTGTCTTCAACTTACAGAGAATGTAAACAGGTGTCTTTTGCAGCCTATCTTATTGTTGCTGGATTGGTTTGTTTTTACAGGTAGAATAATAGCTACCACTTACTGCTGAAGACACTTTGTTTCTCTGACAGACTGTTCAGATTATTCTAGGTCTGGCACGGTGAAAAGGGGATTTGTGAAAAGGATCCTTATTCTGTGAGATCACCTTTTTGTGATCTCATAGGAGACTATTCTAAACAGCTTGCTTCTCTCAAAGTAATTCTACTGCATGAGTCGTGACCCATCTGCTTACCATAAAGTAAAAGCCCAAGATAACAGCAGCTCGCAAGAACTGATTGTTTTTGCCCCTTGTTTCTTATTATTCTGAATTTTTCACCAGAAGATGGCAGCAGGTTAATGTTAGTCACAAATATTTTGACTGCTTACTGTTGGATAAATACAGAGATACTTTGCTAAATATTTGGAACCAACTAGTTTACCATAGGCCGCAGCATGAAAACCGACATTTCAAAGTTCTGCATGTCAAGTAGTTTTGTGGCTTTGTAGGTCAGGCTGCGCCTGGTCTGCCAGTCCTCTGTAAATGTTGGCATTTATTTCTAAACCTCAGTGTTAGGGTTTCACTTGGTGGCCTTTCAAGAGCATTTATTTTGGAAGAAAAATCAAAGCAGGTAGAGCTGATGCTTAAATTAGTTTGCATTTATTGTATACTGCCTTTTAGTTCAGGAAAATGTTTCATTCTTTTCCTAGAATTAATTTACTTGGCAATATACTTCAGTTAAATATGGGTGACATTTTCCGTGGCAATAGGCATCAGTTCCAGTTCTTTCTCCACTTCTCCTATTGTATGGTTCAGAAAGAATTTTTGTTTTCAATGAGAAGGCTAAGTAAATATTGACTGAAAAATACGGAGTTCAGTAGCCCTGGCAGATATTCTGTGGAAAGTAAGCTGTGGTGGCCAGAAAAACAAAGGTGTGAGTTTTTTGTTGTTGTTATTTTTCCCCTTGTAGCAATAAATGAATTGTTATTGTAGTAAATATTCATAGATATATAATAGTTTGGGTTGGAAAGGACCTTTAACAATCATGCAATCCAATCCTGCTGCCATCGGTAGACATCTCTCACTAGATCACAGGGCATCCAACCTGGCCTTGAACACATCCAAGGGCAGGGCATCCACAGCTTTTTCATAGCAACCTTTTTCAGAGTCTCATCACCCTTTGAGTAAAAAACTTCTTTCTTATATCTAACATAAATCTCCCTTTTTTCAGTTTAAAACCATTACTGCTTGCCCTACATGTCCTTGTAAAATGTCTCTCTCTAGTTTTCTTATAAGCCCCCTTGATGTGTTGAAAGGCTGCAAAAAGGTATCTCTAGAGCCTTCTCTTCCTCAGCCTGAACAACCTCAACTTCTCTGCAGTGCTGCTTTCAACCCATTCATCACCCAACTGGTACTGATTGAGATTACCCTGACCCAGGTGCAGCATCTTGCCCTTGGCTTTGTTGAACTTCATGAAGTTCATGTGGGTCCACTTCTCAAGCCTGTCCAGGTCCGTTTGAATGGCAACCTTCCTTCTATCCTTTCAACTGCAGTACTCAGCTTGGTGTCATCCACAAATTTGCTGAGGATGAACTTTGATCTGTCTAGATTGTTGATAAAGATGTTAAACAGCACTGGTGGATCCTGAAGGGATATTGCTCCACTTGGAAGTTGAGCCATTCACCAAGAATCCTGTGATAAAGCCATCCAGCCAATTCCTAATCTACTGAATAGTCCAACCTTCAAACCCATCTATTTCCAATTTAAAGACAAGGATGTTCTGTGGAATTATGTCAGAAACTTACAGAAGTTGAGGTAGGTGATATCAATTCCTTTTTTCTCTTGTCCTCTGACATGGTCACTCCATCATAAAAGTCCACTGGATTTTAATAACTCCTCTGCTGTTTCTGCTCCCAGCATGTTTCTCAATCTCTTGGTGCATCTGAGAGCATCTGCTTTCAGCTTGTAGCTTCTTTCCCTCCTCTTATTTGTCTGTTGCAAAGTCTTTTTGATGGGAAATCTGCAGAACCATGTTTTCAACTTCAGTGAACAAGGCATATTTGCCAAATGTTCCAGCTTGTCCCTTTCTTGTCTCTTACTTGTAACACGTGTATGAGGTTAGTGTGACAACTCTGTTTAGTTAACTGTAGTGCCATTAGATGTAGTCAAGAGAGTTACAAAGAGTGCCTCTGGGTGAGCTTAATTTTCCTTGTGACAGCTGTGAACCTATTGTCTATGAAATGACTTGTGATGATCTAAGGTTTCTAGACTTCCATTTTTAGTAATAGCTAATCATTTTTGAAGAGAAAAGTGACCTGGATTTGATGTGAACAACCTGTTAACCATTATTTTACTTCAAACTCAAATAGAACTCATTCCACATTTACAGCTGCCAACTCTGCACTCCATCTCTTTCAATAGAAGAGAGGGAAACTTTCACTTTCAGACACTTGCTCTAATGACTATTCAGGAAAAAGAGACAACAGGATTGTCCTACAGATCTTGCACAGGGCTGAACATGAAGAATGAAGGGAAAATATTTATCTTCCTCCTCAGAGTGTTTGGCCTCTACCTTTTCTGGTCCAGGCCTGTCAGTGGGGCAGGAACTGCTGTATGGGATGATCTGTCCTGTCACAAAGAGCTTCAAGGCCTATTTCACACCACCACAAGGAAGCAGTGCAAACTTGCAGTCAGGATTTGAAATGTTTTGCAGCTTGACTAGATCTTTGAGCTGGGAAGGTGCAATATTTCCAGTGCTGATTCTTTCTTTGACAATGATCTGGCAAAGCAAAAGAAAAAGAACAAGAGGTCATTTTCCCTTCTTGCATCTCCTATGCATCTTTGAATCAACACTGAGTCTTTGTTTGCAGGTCTAACAGGCATAAAGTACCACTGCCTAATGCTGCTAATTTAATTTCCTTATCTGAGTAAGGTGAGGGTATGTGGGCATCTGTTGCTTCTGGTAGACTTGTGGTAGTCTCTTTTTGTTTTTCCTTTTCCTCTGTACAGCCAATCGGGAAACTGCAGTCCATATCCATGCACTGTTGATGCCACACAAAACCTGTTCAGACCCATCGTGTCTTGTTCAAACACAGATTAAGAGGTTCTTACTGTCCTCAGTATTGTAAGTATCGTATGATCTAGGTCCACCACTCAGAGACATTTTCAGGAGAGAAGTCCAGAGAGACCCATGGTGCTGCTGAAGCCTTGATCCAAAGGGAAAGTAATGTGATGTGACCTAGCACTGGTGGTGCCCACCCTTGCTCTTTTTTTGCTCTGGATCTGAGCTCCCAAGGGTGGCTGTATGTCCTAGGGAACAGGAGCATGGCCTGAAGGCATATGTAATTCCCCTGTACTCATGTTTTTGGTTTGTTCTCTGTTCTGGCCAAAAAACCAAATGTGGTGCTGGGCACTGCACTTCTTGCCATATTTTTGGGAAGCCTGGAATACTTTGGCTTCTGTGTTAGGTATGTTGTGCTTGAGAGTATACGTTTTCATAAGGAAAAGGTTTTAAAAGCTAAAATCTTCAATGAAATATACAAGCTGCAGTTTTCAGGTGGGGGAACCCAGAAAATACTGTGGCAGCTTTAGTTAAAAGAATGTATTTTTCCCCTGTTGAATCATAACAGTGACTCTTATTTGATTTGGTTATTATTAAAAAAGAACATATTTTTAAACCAGCCTAAAGATTGTCAGAGGTGAATTTGTCCAGTCTTACAAATCCTGTTTACAATCCGAGAAGAGCTTTTCTGGTAAAGGGATTCTACTACTCAAATTCTTACAGAAGGCTGTTGAAAAGGATGTGGAATTCACGCTGTGCAAGTTTACCGTTATTACGAGCATCTCAGGTTTGATCTGTAAGTATCTTATGTTTCTCTAAAGCTTTTAGGAAATTAAGGTGATAAATTTTAGCACATACATTAGCAAAAATTAGCCCTCTTAGTATGCCCTGATAGAGCTAGACAAAGGCAAAGCCATAATCTTTTAACTGTGTGGATGTCCATTGTATAATCAATGATTATTCAGATGTATAATTAACAAGTATACAGAGAAGTTAGGCTGGTCTTTAGAGAGCCATATATCCTTCAGCAAAATTTAAGGTATACAAGCAAGTATTTCATGCAAATTCCAATCCTTCCATAATTCTTACTGCTCTTTGTTTAAATGTTCAAACAACTGCCTCATGACTGAATACTCTGTTGTGCTGCAGCCTGGTAGAAGTTGTTAGAAAGTACTACTGATGGCACAGATGCAAAGAGAACTTGTAACTCTCCAAGAACTCTTCGATGCTATAGTTCTCTCTCGGGGACCTAACCTTGTTAGTCCATATGCGTCCATGATAAAGAGACTATCAACTGTTATCTGTATTTTCAGAACTAGAGCACAGATAGCCACATGCAATAATAATATAGTTACCCGATATCATCATGGCAGAAACCAAATCAAATTTTCCTACATGAGGTCCATTATCGCTCATTTTTTCACTTACCATTCCTGTACTTGTAACAAATGTATATAAATACACAAGATATGGTAGGTACCACTGTTCAACTGTTGCTTAGAGGGCCCTGTGATGAACCCACAACGAATAGGTCCACTTTGATGTCAAGTGCTTGTACCTGTTGGCAGAAAGTGAGACTGCTTGGAGTTTCCACCTGAAATGTAGGCCTTTTCTGAGTTGAAGTAAAAAAAAAAACCCTCTTTGTGGCATGTACATGATATTTTCTTGTTTGTCTCTTTTCTTAGGATAAAAGAACATTGACAAAGAAAGGCTCTCAGTAATTATGGACTTAGTTTTAATTTGAAACTAGTGAAACTCCAGTGGTGTAATCAAACAGATCAGAATGCAAAAGCAAATGTCAAATAAATGTTATTAAAGGGAACAATTGACTAGGAAATTATTCTCTCCCCAAAATGGCTGATTCTTTGAAACTATGAAAACTCTTCATCCACCAACAGCAAAAAAATGGCTGTTAGTTCCAGAAATGGAAACATGTTAAGAATTTCAGGATTTCCAACAGCTTCCTTATGGCTGGAATTTTTTCATTCAGAGAGAAGCCTTAAAATTTCCTAGGCTTAGTTTACTCTGGTTTTTTTTTTTTTGTTTTTTTTTTTGTTTTTTTTTTTTTTGCCTCCATCAAAATATCTTATAGCTTCTGTCCTGGTAAGGCAGATGACTGTTTGTTTCTTTCAACATCCAAAATTTGCCTGCACTTCTATTTCTTCATTCTCTACAATTTGTTTTGCCAGACTTATTGCTGTATTACTAACCAGGCTTTTCCTTACTTCAGATTGTAAATTTAATGCAAGAGTAGAGATGGTGGAAAACTGCCTTCTCAGAGTGAGAAACAAATTTAATGCAGGAGTGAGTGAGTTGTAAATCTTCTTCTCCTCTCATTACCCCTTTCATTCTTGGCTTGCCTTTAGACATTAGAAAACTCCCTGGTGTGACAAAGCCTTGGAGAGGGGTCTCGATAGATTGGAGCACTGAGCAATGAAAAATAGCATGAAGTTCAATGAAGGAAAATATCAGGTTCTGCACCTGGGGTGGAGCAGTGCCAGACACAGGCACAGACTGGAAGATGAGTGGCTTCAGAACAGCTCAGCAGAGAAGGATCTGGGTGTCAGTGACATCAGGCTCAGCAAGAGCCAGCAGCATGCCCTTGCAGCCAAGAAGGCAAGTCGAATTTTGGGGTGCGTGCAGTACAGCACAGCTAGACAAAATAGGGGATTCTCCTGCTCTGTCTAGAGTTGGTGCAACCTCACCTTGAATACAATTTGTAGTTCTGTGCTCCGCGGTATAAAAATGATGTCAGTGTCCTTGAAAGCATCCAGAGGAAGGCACCAGGGCAGGAAAGCTTGTCCAGTGAGGGGAGCTGAGGGCACTAGAGTTGCTCAGTCCAGAGGAGGCTGAGAAGTAATCTCATATCTCTCTGCAGCCCCCTGAGGAGAGAAAGCAGAAAAAGGTGCTGGGCTTGGCTTTTGGTTACGAATGACATGATGCACAGGACTGGCAAAGTATTGCCACAGGGGAGCTTTAGACTGGACATTTGGAATTTTTTTTTTTTTTTTTTTTTTTTTTTAAACCATGGGGATGGTCAAACACTGGAACAGACTTCCTGGAGAGGTGGTTGATGCCTCATGCATCAGCGTGCAAGTGGCATTTAAATAATGCCTTAATTAATTTTCTTTAACTTCACTCTCTCTCTCTGAAGAGCCTAGGCAGTTGGGGTAGATGACCTGTGTAAGTTGCTTCCAACTGAATTAGTCTAATGACATGGATCAGAGCAAACAGATGTTGGAGATCTGGTTTTATCAGCACTCCTTATGCTTCCTGAGTGCTGGATCTGTTGGTGAAATCATGCTTTTAGAATATGTTTTGCAGAAGCATTCATTTTTACCATGGCACTAAGCTCAGGTCCTGTTAAAAGAGCACAGGAAGTTATTTTTCTCTTAAGTAAGTCCTCTTGTACACCGGTTTAAATCTACTAACTGCAGAGGAATAGCTCCTTATTTCAATAATGTAAAAGGGAGTTACCTGTAAAAGGTATAACTTCAGTTCCTCTATGTCTACAACAGTTTTTAAAGACCTCTCCAGATGCCTCTCCATTAAAATTGCTGTATTTTCTCAAGATCAAAAGAAGTTATTTCTCCATTTTATAAAAAAGAAATGGACCAGTGGAATTATTTTTTCGAAAAGTAGTATTTCTGAAGCTTTGCATAGGGAGATCCCTACCATTAAGTGTAGTTAGATGTGTTCTGGTTTAGAGCTGTGCATCCATCCCACGTAGCAATGGTCATACCGCCTTTGTGACTGGACTCTGACTCCTGGCTTGCAGGAGAGTGCAGCATTTCTTAGGCAGAGTGGCTGCAGAGGCTATGACAACACAGCTTGCTGATCTTCACATCTGAGTGTCCAGGGCAGACTGAACAAAGAGTACTGAAATTGGCTCCCTTAGGCTTGTTCTGACTGTATTTTGTTACTGTCAAAAAGTTAGCGTTGAGGTACTCTTTTGGTGTAGTGTTTGGGAAAGAAAAGCAACACGAAGGGCATGGAACAGAATGATGGGACCAGAATTCAGCAGGCATTGGTTTGGATACAGTTGTCTTTGGCAGCTTTTGCAGTGTGACTTGGTCTTTTTCTGCCTCTGCTTGTAAAAATAAGACAGTGGTAACTCATTTTGGGGTGGGGCTGAGAGGTGAAGTGAGATTTACTGACAAAGAAGCTATGAGCAGAGATACAATAATGTCATGTAATCACAAAATGGCTTGGTTGGGCGGGACCTGAAAGGCAATCAAACTCCAACCCTCACAGTAGGATAATTCATTTCTGTTAGTAATATTAATTCATGAATTCATGTGTAGTGTCTGTTTCTCTGTGATCTCCTCTCTTGCTTTTCCCCCTCTGTCTGCCACATCAGTGCTTATTACCACTGCAGTCATGAATTATGGTTAGTTTACCAAATTGGAAAGGAGTTACTGGGTTTAGGATGAACAAGATGAACAAGATCCTGCATGCTGTGCGTGTAAAAATCTGCACCAGTGTATGTGACCCACATCTTTTTGCTTTGTATGTACCTCCATGTCAGACACCATTTTGTCCTACCACCCCTCTTCTGCCATCTGTCACATAACAACAAAATGTAATGGAATATTGGTGGGAATACTGCTGCCATATCTCCAGTGTCTGCCTCTGGCATCATGAGCCACTGTGGTAGAATAGGAAACATTACTTTTGAAGCAGCCCTTGTAAATTATGAAGTCCAAACTGCTAGAATAGTTATATGCATGAATTTCGTTCCTCTGTAGTGTGAACACGCAAGAAGACAACATAAAATATTACATCTGTACAATTGGCTCTTAACATCAATCTAGAAGGGAAGTTGCCTTCATCTGATACTTGCTTATCACACTTTTAAAGCTTCTGTTTTGTGGTCCGTGATAGCCCTGAAATGCAGTTGTGCAGTGTGGTACTGAGTGGGTAAGTTGTCCTTCTTTTGTCTCTGTCTCTGCCACCCTAGTTAGAGTTCACTCGGCTGGTCTGCATCCTAAACACCTACACAGCTGGTTGGCAACTATCTGTGGTAATAGTATTGACTTTAAACATCCAAGCAGCTTGCTTTATCTGGGGCATTAACATTGCCTACTCAACCTAGTTCATCTTTGTGGCTACAGATTAATTCTGTGAGGGCCAATATGTAAATCGCTTATTTTTTAGTTTATATGAAATACCTTTCTTGCTCTCTGTCTCGTCTCAGACGAATATCAAGTGCATGCCTCTACTTGATGTGTGGTAGTACTATACAATCTAAGATGTGAATGAGATATGTGCTCCATCACTGCTGATTAGGTGCAGTGGGTGTGCAAACACAGGGAAGGACTTCAGTAGATCACACTGTAGAAACTTACAAAACTTGTCATGATGAATTTGTGTAAAGTGTGATATGCAGTGATTGTGTTAATGTCCTGAAATTTGAGAGCTTTCAGGCATGAAGTAAGGATGATATTTTAGTACTTTATGACAGATATAATTACACTATGTCTGCTGTCTTGGTTGAGAGGGGTAAGAAGCTTAGTTCCCAGTTGGAGAACACTGAGATCATTGTATTCGTTCTATGAGAGTTAAACCCATTACCATCCAAATATAGCACCCCTGGACACAGCTATCAACCTGTTTACTATCAAGAGAGTATTCCAGTTTTAAAGAATACTGTTTCCACAAATAATTTATAATAATTATTTGTCTGGTTGGATCTTTCTTTTGCTAATGCCTTGGGTCAGCTGCCAAAAGTAATGCAGCCACAAATGTTTAGTATGTGCTCTCACAATGACAGCTCCAGGAACTCTTGTAACTGAATTTTGGCATCGGTTTCTCTGTTCTTTCCTCCAAGATAGGATGAATGAATTCTGACAAAAAAATAATTATGTAGTCTACAATATTTCCTGCATTTGCACAGATTTTGTTTGAGATAGTTTCTCACTCCAATTTATAGGAGGGAGAGGAGGTTCTTTGATACCCATATACCCAGGGTGAGATTAAGAAACAATAGTTCAAATGTTGGTCCGACAAGTTTATCACAGATCTTAATCAGGGAGATGGGGAAGGGGAGGATGGACACTATTATGAATTAGGGTAATGGGAAAGGGAAGGAGGGTGATAGAAAAGATAGGAAAGAAGCAAGGAGTCTTTGTGGGAAGCAAGAGGGAGATAGTCACCACATGGATCCAGCGTGGTTCATAGTTCAGACTTCAGTAGTGGTGGGTCATCAACTGTTGTTGTTCCATTGAAGATGATGGTGACCATGGCAATGGTGGCAACTTCTCAGTGGTAATACCAACTTATTTATAAGTCCAAAGTGGTCGAGTCAGCTCTCCTTGGAGTAGCAGCTTCTGGATCTGGGAGCTGAAACTCCTTTGTTCTGGGCCTTGCCAGCAGATAAAAGGGAGCAGCGAGGCCATCAGCTTGTATCTTGCCTTCACAGGATACAGTGGTATCCCCCAGTCTCCCATAGCAAACAGGAGTTATTTGGTCACAGGCTAGATATTCTGCCAGTAAACATTCCTGAGCAATCTCTTCCAAAGGCAAGCAGCTCTAAAGAAATGCTTGCAAAAGTAAAATTGTCCACACAGTGATGTTGATTGCCACATGACACCCATCTCTCATCTCCTAGAGTCTTATCACAAAAAATACCTCAGAGAGCAAGTTTTGAGCCAAAAAAACCCTCAAAAAACAACAAAAAACAAAGAAGGATTCATACAGATAGTGACAGTCAAGATCTTTAAAACTTCCTTTCTACTCTAAATATGACAATATGCTTAACAATATATGCTACACATATATGAAAGAGGTAGAAATATATTTAACAAATTATCTCCTACGAATGTTCAAATACTAAAGTATGAGTAAATCAACAAAGCCCTCTAAATTGTATTCATTATTACTAAAATCATATTGATTACTTTTAAAGAAACAGTAAAGCATTTGCTCATCAAGGACATTTGAGATGAGATTGTCAGGAAGATTGTATCAAAGCTTTTTTCTTGGTATCAGATGCAGAAAGTAAGATAACAATGTGAATAAGGGCAGGAGTCGCCATGAGGATTATAGTGAGTTCAGTACAGAAGGTTTCCCTGACCTGGTGTACCAATGGAGAGTCGGCTGAATATGAGCCAGCAATGTGCCCAGGTGGTCAAGAAAGCCAATGGCATCCTGGCTTGTATCAGGAATGGTGTGGTCAGCAGGACTAGGGAAGTCATCCTGCCCCTGTACTCGGCATTGGTGAGGCCTCACCTCAAGTACTGTGTTCAGTTTTGGGCACCTCAGTACAGAAAGGACATTGAGGTGCTGGAGCAGGTCCAAAGAAGGGCTACAAGGCAGGCGAAGGGCTTCGAGAATGTGCTCTATGAGGAGAGACTGAAGGAACTGGGATGTTCAGTCTGGGGAAAAGGAGGCTGAGGGGAGACCTTATTGCTGTCTTCCAATATCGGAAAGGTGCTTACAGTGAGAGCGGGATCGGTCTCTTCTAACTGATGACAGGTAACAGGATGAGGAGAAATTGCCTCAGGTTGCACCAGGGTAAGTTTAGGTTAGGAAACACTTCTTTACAAAAAGGCTGGTTAAGCACTGGAATAGGCTCCCCATGGAGGTGGTTGAGTCACCATCCTTGGATGTGCTTAAAATCCATTTGGATGTG